AGAGAGAGAGAGAGAGAGAGAGAGAGAGAGAGAGAGAGAGAGAGATGGGTGAAGCTGAAGCTCAAGTAGAGTAGTTGGTGTTCCTCTCCTGTCAGGTAGTTAGGTAAGGTATACATCATCTCCTGACAAAATCACAAAGCAAAGAAAATAAAGTCCAAACCTCCCTGTCTTTCCCGTTTGGGAATTGTTGCGCTTATCGTTTGAAGGAAAATTCATCAGTACATCACATGTATGATGTAGGTAGGGTAATGTATGTAGGTACCTAGGTATCTTAGCTCTTATCACACTTATCAGTTTTATCAGAGTCAAGGCTCGCTCATCAGCTGATACCTAGATACAATGATACTGTATACATCATTGTACCCTCCCTAATGTACTGTACTTGTATATGTACATAGTAGTAGGAGATATGGAAGTACTAGTACTGAGGTGAGGTAAGGTACCTGATGTTTGTATACTTTCTCTTGGCATGGGGGAGGAAGGGAGGGAGGGAGGGAGCACCCAACAACAACCCGACGTAGGTCCGCTGTGTATACAGTATGCGGCTATAGCGATATCTCATTGTACTTTGGAGGTATGCAAGTGGTAGTGAACGTAGTGAGGGGAGTGAAGATAGATAGGTGTATAGGTGTACGGGTGTATGTACACAGGCGATCAATCATGAAAAGGATCAGGTAACGAAGTAGTCTCGCCTAGGTGGCTGGTTAGCCGCCGCTGCTGCAATTGCACATGCAAAGAGACGAGACAGAAAAAAAAAGCGCCGCGTGGCCGGTGTCATTGTGCTTCTCAACGTGTGTTTCATACGCGATTATACCTGGCTGTATCTGTAGGAGGTCCCTAGGAGGATGTTTCTGTCCACGTCAACTGGGCCGTATGGGGACGATGGTCCTTGGTGTGCGAGAGAGAACTTGAAACTAGCATGACGAAGCGAAGCGGGAAGGGAGGGTGGGGGAACTAGGACTGGGACTGGGACTAGGAGGTATCGGGAGTCGGGACTGGGGGAGTCAGGGAGCAGCTGGGAGCTTCTCCTAGAGCTGTTGCTTTGCGAAAAAGGTTTTTTCAGTTCAGGTAGCTTAGCCTGTTGTAGCACAGCATCAGAGTGTGTACTCAAGTCTGTTCCCTCCCACTCGCTGCTATCTATCGCGCGATAAGCCTTTCTCCCTATGAGGTTTGAGCAAATATGAAGCAACCACCATCATCTGCTCTTTCCCTCTTACTCTTGCTCTTGCCCTTTGCTCTGGCCTCTTACTCTTGGCGCTGATTGTCGAATTGCTCTCTCTTCGGAGTCTTCTTCTTCTTCTTCCTCTTCTTCTTCTTCGTCGTCGTCTTCACCCTCTCCTCTCCCTCCCTCCCTCCCGTCTCCCCTTCTCCCAGCCAGTCAGAAGTGTGATGCTCCGCACGTTGTCGCTCTCCTCCTCGGGATAGGTAGTATTACTTAGCAGTAGTGCAACTATGATGGGGCGCTACCCCAAAGGCTTTCTGGATCTACAACTTGCCAACAATGCGGGATACTCCACCACCACTACCACCACCTGGCAGCCTCCTTCACATCTCTACTCGACCGCCACCACCGATTACATCTCTCCACTCAAACTAGCCCCGCGAGAAGAGATCACGCGCGTCTCTCTCATCTCGCTCCAACACCAGCGATATCAGGAACAACACACCAAGGCCCTGGTGAACAGAAGCACCATTCCCGGCTTCAAAACATCTGCTGGTATGTATCCTCTCCTCCTTCTACTGCCTGTACGACTACCCACCCTCCGCATCTGTAAATCGCATGCAGCTGGCAAGCCTGGGAAAATCCTTCCACTCGGCTCCAATGAATGGCATGACGCCAGTCTCAGCCTCTCTGCTGTGCCTGTGCCTGTGCCTGAGCCTGTGCTGTCCACGACCCACATGGTGTTCATTGATACCTGATATATATATGTATATCTCGATCGATCTATCGATACCGGCGTGATGGTCCCAGTGCACATCATCATGGACGGTAACCGAGACTGACTATCATGTCTCTTGTTGCAGCATTCTTCGCCTCCCTCCGAACCAATCTCAGACTGCACGCCTCTCCGCCTCCGAGTCCACTTTCTACGCCAAATTCCATGCGAGGATCGACGCCAACCCTGCCACCACCTTCGCCTCTCTCGGGCCCCGTCCTGACCGCCGACATGGACGCCCCCGATACCCCATTACCGCAGGACAATCCCCTCGCCGATGTGCCCGAGCTGACCTCATATCTCGCGACCGACGACTTTGAAAAGATGGAGGCCTTGAAACTTGTCGCAGATAGCGTGGCACAACAGCGGCAAACCGCGAATCGCGCCCTGATCTACCATCCCGTCAACATGTCCGTCATGACGGCCGTGTTGGCCTGTGCAGGGAGATATCTTGCGTATAGAGGCTTCGATTACATGGGCATCATCCTGACATGCATGGGCATTTTCATGTCTTTTATGGCTGCATGTCGATATCTCACCCAGGGCTATCTCAACGCCGCAGAAGACATCAATCTCGCATGGCTCGGCGACGCAGACATTCTCGTCACCAAGTTTGGAGACGAAGTCATTGGCACCGTCATGATTGACTGGATATCGGGCGAGAGTCGCACGAAGAAGAAGAAGGCCTGGAGAGGTCTGATCAAAGCATGGACCGTGCGATTAAAGTATCGCCACAAAGGTGTGGGTCGTGCCTTGCTCGAAGATGCTGTCAGTGCTGCGAAGAAGAAGGGTGCCGAGTCGCTCGATTTTGCTGAAAATCATGCGAGTGAGTAGTGGTTTTCTTTTTTTTTTTCCTTTTTTTTTCTTCTTTTTTTTTCTCCTCTGATATGAGAATCCCGAGATGATCATTACCTAACAACATTTGTGCGTGTCCACCAGATTCACGACGGATACTTTCCAAATTCTATAATACGACTTTTGACCGCGACGAGGCCCAATCGATTGAACAATTACAAAATCTCATGATGACGAGCCCCAGAAAGGGCAGCGGTGGTGGGGGCGGTTTTGGTGGTGGAGGAAGTAGCAGACGAAAATCTACGAATTGAATGATCTGAGACCAACGAATTGACGATGGAAATGATACAAACCATTAATATATTTCTCTCTATCTCTCTCTGTACAGGTTATGGATAGATTAGGTAGAGGGGGGTTTCTTCTAATATATATATGGAATAGACATAATATATCAATTAAACTATCTCTCTCTCTCTCTCTCTCTCTCTCTCTCTCTCTGCAGAATTCACGGTTTACTTCACTGTACGGCATTGCATTCAACAAGGTAGGTACGGTAGGTAGGTACTTTGGAGTTTTGCAGGTAGAATTGTGAAGGTCTCTCTCTCTTGCTTCTCTACCTACATGTACTTGCATGTTGTTGTCATCGCGGCACGTGGCCTCGAGGACTGTGCCATCACTCGTCGTCGTCGTCAACGTGTACAATGTACCTAGTCTCTCTCTCTCGTCTTTCTCGTTCATGCCATAATGGTCATGTCACGCCCCCTGCGATTCCTTGACCCCACAGGTTGCACAACACCATCGAATCCAAGCCTTCGCTACTTCTACGCCGCTGTAACAGAATCAACATCTACCCAGCGTCATCTAATAGGAACGACCAAACATGACAAACTGCTGGGCTTTCTGGCCACACTTGGGATTGATGCACAGCGTTCCTTCTGCAATGGCCTCGGGCTGGTCGTGCGGAATGCAGAGCGACTTCGCGCCCATCGAAGGCGCGCGAGCGTCCACTTCTTGCCCTTCAATGTTGCCCTTGGAGTCCTCCTTGATCTCATCCTCACACGGTCCGCCGAGGCAGTGGGGAACGAGCAGCACGTTCTTGTCATTGAGAGTCGGTACAAAGTCTTTCCACTCGCGCACAATCTTGCGGTGCGAAGCGTACTCATCCGATGCCTTTTGGAACATGTCTGCTTGAATCGTCTCGAGGAGCGCTGGCACTGCCGTGGCAAGATCCTTAATTTCGATGGTACCCTTGCCGTCTCGGTCACGTCGAGAGGTGGTCACCACATGGTTGGCCGAGTCCTTGGGTCCAAATTCGAGACGGAGTGGGACACCCTTCAGCTCCCAGTCATTGAACTTGTACCCGGGGGAATAGCCTTCTCGCATATCGCTCTCCACGCGTACTCCCGCATCGTCGAGGATCGTGCGCAGACCCTCGACCTCATCGTAGAGCTTCTTGCGATCTTCATCCGTACTCTTGGCGGTGATGCCCACGGGGACGATGACAACCTGGGTTTCTGCGACGCGGGGAGGAACGACGAGACCTTTGTCATCGCCATGAACGAGCACCATGACGCCAATGGAGCGGGTCGTGAAGCCCCAGCTGTTTTGCCAGACGTATTTCTTAGGGCGTGTTCCTCCCGGAGCCACCTCCTGGTGAGGGTCCTCGACTTGGATGTCAAACATCTTTGCAAAGTGCTGGCCGAGGCAGTGAGACGTCGCAGCTTGGATACCACGTCCCACAGCAGGAATGAATCCTTCGATGGTCTTGGTGTAGTATGCGCCCGGGAACTGCTCGTTCTTGGTCTTCTGGCCCTTCACCACTGGAACTGCAAGCAACTCTTCGTAGATGTTCGCATAGTAATCCAGGATTTGCATCACTTCCGCACCTGCTTCCTGCTCCGTCAAGTGTGCAGTGTGTCCCTCCTGCCACAAGAACTCTCGCGAACGCAGGAATGGGACTGCGTGCTTGAACTCCCACCGCACCACGTTGTTCCATTGGTTCATCTTGAGCGGCAGATCTCTGTGAGACCGAATCTTCTTACTGTAGAAGCTGTACATGGCCGTCTCAGACGTCGGGCGCACAGCCAATCTCTTTTCCAACTTCGTTTTTCCGCCCTCGGTGACCCACGCGACTTCAGCAGCGAAGCCCTCGATGTGGTCCTTTTCGCGCTGCAGGTTGGCTTCCGAGATAAAGAGCGGGAAGTAGCAGTTCTTGACGCCCATCTTGCGGATGCGCTCATTGAAGTACTCCTGGATGAACTCCCATATTCTGTATGAAGCTGGCTGGTAGATGTAGCATCCTGGCACGTCGGTGTAATCGAGCATGTCGCCCTTGGCAATGACCTGGGAATACCATTCTGAGAGATCGCCCGTCTTCGGCTCAGTGATTCCAATCAACTCTGGGCCGTCTGCCTTCTTCTTGCCTTGACCTTGTGGAGGCTTGTCTTTCTTCTCCTTGCCCTTCTTGCTCTCTTTCTGCTCTTTTCGCTCCTTCTCCTGCTTCTGTGGCTTCTCAGTTGGTGCGGCAGATGTGGTAGCATCTGCACTGGCATTAGCCACGCTGCTGCCCTCGACCTTTAAATCGTCCATCTTGGCCTCGATGCCGCTCGCAGCCATTGGCGGGCAGTGATCGCCTTGCTGGTACGCTCTTGTGCTGCTGTCTCGTGTCTCGTGTCTCGCGTCGAAGACTGGCTTGGCGGTGGACGGTGTTTCTGTAGTTGCGTGTTGAGCGTGGTGGTGTTAGTTTGTCGGTGAACCAACTGAACAAGTAACGCGATACTATATAAATATTACCAAATAAGACTCATATCAATTTGGCAGGCACGCGCGGGGCACCCCTGGTCGAATGCTCCTGCCAAGAGAAACGCGGAGCCAGGACCTTGCTCTTGGACACTTCACGGATCATGTTCATCAGAACCTAACTCTTCTTCTTTATTCATCAACCAGATCAACATCCACAACAGACGGCTGGTGGATCGGTTCTTGTCGGCCAGCAGCACCATTAATCCATCGCGACCAGATGGAAAGGCGGAGTTGGCAGATTGGCTGCCTACACGCCCATGACCCAGCATCTTCAGGCAATACGACCACCTTCCGGGCTGCGGGAGGCTAGTCGACGGGGATGAGGGTGAACGTATAGAGCAGTACACGAATCACTCATTTGTGCCAAAGACCAGCTCACGGGCCAGGTGAGATCACCAGCATGGCTACCTCCCGTCTGTGAACATGCAACGAGAAAGCTGCTGGAAGTCGAATTGTGGACATGGAACTCATCATGCGTGCTACATAACGCTGTATACCATGTACTCCTTCTTTGCCCCCAGTCACGCTGGACGCTGGAGAGGCCACTACAGTCGGTCAAGTCCTGCTCCCGACTGAAGTATCACGCTCTCCCTCATCTTCCCTTCAGTTCTGCGGGGCATCTAGCTTTTGTCATCGCCTCTTGGATCGTATGGCCCCAGGCTTGCATTCTCAGCTGCATTCTCAGACAAAACGCGCCTTTTGCCAGCAGATGCAGGCTACCGAACTGAGCTGTGCTCCGACGCCTATGCAGAGATGAGGCAGATGCACTAAGTATAGCTTAACGCAACCGCGAGCTCTCAGACTTATTTAAGCATATCTCTTCGAGGATAGTATCGAAGTAACAGGCCTAACTAAGTAGCGCCACGCTCGTGAGTTGTAGCCTCATCTCTAGGCATAGATACTCGGATTCCATATTGCCCGTAGCGAGAATGATTAATTTTTGAACCGACCTTGATTCCTAACATGTCAGCATCAGGTCGTGCATGCTGCGCTAATCACGGCAAGACAGGTTCTCTTGGTCGCGGAATCCAGCTCAGACTGCTCACTCGTCAACGACCACTTCTTGGGCCTCGTTGCGCAGCTGGCGGCGGCTCGAAGGCGTCGTCATCGTCGCTGATCTCGTCATCGCTGGGTTCAACTCGACGCTTCGACGCTGATACTCTTGTTGTGCCATTTCTTCCACTGATGCTGCTTGGCTGCGTGCCGAAACTCAAGGTCTGCTGGGTCGCACCGGAGCGGCCAGCTGCGACGCCACCTCTTCCTCTGCCGCGAGCAGGTGCACGAGCAGCTGGCTTCTTGAGTGGACTCCCCGAAGACTGATTCACTGCCGACGATCGTTTGGAGGCGTGATCTTTCACGAAGAGAGAGTTTGAGCTCTCCTGAAAATCGTCTTCCTCCTCATCATCGTCGTCAATCATAATCGCATCTTGTTCTTCGTCCTCTGAGGATGGCTTCTTCTTGCCCCGAGTGGTGGCTGCTTTTGCGGGTGCTTTGGCGGGTGCCTTTTTGGATGCAGTAGCGGCCTTGCGGGTTGTACCAGCTGCTGCTCTGCCCCCTCGTCCACCACGACTACCCCTGCCTCTTGATGGCCGGGTCATCGATGCGACACTTGCAGCGTCGTCATCGTCGTTATCCCCACTGGCATCGCCATTTTCGTCTGCGTCGAAGATCATCGACATCCACGAGTCCTCCCACGACTGGCCCTGCTCATCGCTGTCCCAGTCGTCTGGACGTGGCTTACGAGATTCCTTCCGACTCTTCTTTTTACGCTCGCCCCTATCGAATGCGTCGTCAAGAGTCTTACGATTTCGTTCGATCTGCTCGTACAATGTCTCGTCGTCTAGGATCTTGCCGTCCGCTACGTCTTCTTGGCCTGCAATGAGGTTGCCTTGTTGTAGCTTCAGGCTTTCCTCGATAAACTCTTGCATGGCGTGCTTGTCGTCCTTGTCGACATACTGAGATACGGCATCGCTGAAGCTGTTTTGCGGCAAGATCGTGAGAGACTGTGCTGTGAGGAACTCCTTGACCAGCTTGCCCACCCCAGCCGTGTCAATAGTGATTGTCTTCAACAGCTCTTCGTCCGGCATTTCGGCATCCATCTTCTTCCTGCTGACTCCTGTGCGTTTACGGTGATATTGCACGACATCAGTACTGTTGGCTACTAGTCCCGCAAAGCGACCCGAGAAACGTTGCGGATTGTCGAAATTGTATTTGCCACCCTCCGGCGGCGTGGTTTCGACACGCAGACGTATGATGGGCAGCGGCGGCTCCTCATCTTCATCCATCTCATCCTCCCCTTGGATGTCATACCACTCCTGCTTGGCTTCGTCGATGAGCTCATGAACAATCTTGGATAGAAACTTCGAGATCTGGCCACGGTTATCCTCGTCGTCCGCCATGGCAATGTCGCGTGCTTCTCTGTAATCTCGCAGAGCAATTTCCTTTACAATGAAAGGTCGAACAGTCTTCAGACGAATCGTCTCCACTTCATATTGGATGCCGGTAACGCTCACAATGGCGACGTGCTTCGGAACGGCCTCTCCCTTGACAAGTGAGGTCGCCACAGAAGATCCAGGTTGCATGACTTTGAATCCCATTTCCGCATTTTCCTCGGGGTCAATCTTGCACTCGTGTTCGTGGCCCCAAATGATAAGGTCCATGAAATTGGGTAAGAAGCGCTCGGGCAGAAAAGACGTCTCCGTGTAAGCATGGTGGTTCTGATGTACGCTCATGATGTTAAACCAATCGCCAGTCTGTACACTGGGCTGGAAAAACTTGACGTGGCCATCGCGGAAAGTTCGGAATAGACGCTCATCACGGACGTTGCTCATACCGTAAAGCGCGAGTTTGGTCCGACCTTTCTGCAGCAAAAGCGGTTTGATCTGAATGTTGTCTGATTCTGGCGTACGGCCATAGTAGTTGATGAGTCCCGCTGCGGAGAGGATATCGAGCGCTGCAAGGTGACCTTCGCCTGACGGATCATCGTGGTTGCCATGTATGGAGAAGACAGGTATCGCTACATTGATATTCTCATCGGCATAGTTGACATGGTTGAAGGCACTGTGTATAGTCAGTGGGTCTCACTCGACAGACTATGCGAAATAGCGTCGTGACGCTGCACCGTGACTGCGGCAATGTTTCGCCACTTACCCAGCAAAGTGTTCACTGCTGTCACTCAGCATTTGCAGCTCGCATGGCTTGTCGCCATAACAGTTCTCGCGCAGACTCCGCATGACCTGGTACATGGCCTGCCGCGAGGGCCTGTTCTCATGGAACAGATCACCGGCCAAGAGAACCATGTCGACATCCCGAGTCTTGGCTAGTTGCATGATTTCGTCGAAGGTCTTCCAGCTATCGTTGCCACGAACAGGGTCGCGCTCATTGTAGCCGACATGATTGTCAGTGGACACGAGTATGCGTATCGTATCGGATCCTGTAGAAGTTTTTGATCAGCTCTTTCTCCGTTCGGCCTTTCTCTGGTATGGACTTCGTGTACCTCCTGGGTCTGACATGACTGCCTATGAAGGAGGCAGGTTTCCAGGAATGCGACTCCGATACCTGTAGAAGCTCATCAGGATGAAGACGAAGACGACGATTTGGAGCAATGAGAAGTGGAAGAGTCAACGAGAGTGCTGTCAGAGAAATGGTGAACACATGGCGGGAGGACGTGAAGGGATCGATGCCTGCACTCACAGCGCGATCCACTTCATCACGCTGTCACGTGATCTATAGAGCGTTCGGGCGGGCGGGAACTTCCGAGCCGTCCTCCGCACGCTTACCTTCGACGACCTCAGGCGAACGTGGGAGTGAGCATTCTACTCTGCAAAGGGCGACGCGATGAAGTCCACCACAGCGCTTCTGGCGCGATCGGTATGGAAAGGTATGTCTGATCAGTGCTCTTTTCGGTAGTGCCTCCGGACGGTCGCTGATCTGATGATTTAGGTCCTCACATTGTACCGTACGCCTCCTCATCTCTCCTCGCACGACCTCGATTCCGATCGGCCTATCTCTCTCATGATGAATGCAAAGCTAATGATGTGGAAGTCTGCCGATAGCTCGGCCCAAGGCCGGTGTACGGATGCCACCTATCAGAACCCAAGCGAGGAGCGCCACAATACTGCCAAATTTCGTTAATCTCATCTTCCAAGTATACAATGGCAAGGTATATCACGATGTCCGCATCACTGAGGATATGGTTGGACATAAGCTTGGAGAGTTCTCTCCGTAAGTTCTGGGATAATTCAACTCTCGTGCCCACCGAGAACCTGACTTTGCTTTGCATTTGCAGGACACGAAAACGCTTCATGTACAAGCAGACCAAGAACAAGTGAGAGCTGATGGTAACGGAAGTGCGCGTATGCCTGGTGGTCTTTGGTACTTTGGTAGTCATGTCTGGCAGTCTCGTAACAATGCACCATCGTCGCATCTCATGGTAAGGACGTCTCTGGCTAGGGATGGTCATATGAGTATGGAGCTATGGTTGTAGGACGGGGGAACGATGGAGGTTTCACGAGAGGGTGCTGTAGGTACCTACAATTCAAGAAAGTCAGTTTGTACGACTAGGAACTGTGCCGAGGAAGATAGAAGTCGGACAGGGCCCCGGCGGACCCATGATGTCCATCCGAAGACGTCAGGCTGTGCCCGTGTAGTGCCTGCCGATGCAAGGTCAACCACGAGCTTCCGATAGAAGCAGGCGTGAGCCAATTGAAAAGAAAAAGTAAAATTTGATTCTGTTCGGTGCGAGCTGCACCCGGTCGCGAGAAGCAAAAGATGGAGTCGAACGGCACTGCGATCTGTCTCAGCGATGAGTTGCGCTGATCGTTGTGTTCCGCGCAGTGATGGTATGTATCGGCGATATAGGTGAATCTGCTAATCCTTCCGTTGCACTCGTGGCTGCAATTGCCTCGACAAGATCGTGGTCCCTTCCCAGGTAGTTGGGGTACAGTAGGCTGCCACCTAGCCTTACGATAGCAGTCGTCAACTCTTGCTGGCTGGATGTCCGAATCTCGAGAGGCTGTTGCAACTCGCTACCGGGCAGTGCAAGAGGCAGTGCAGCGACCATAACACTGTCTTCCCGTCCTTGCATCTGGCCTCTTCCTTCAACAACCGCATACACCAACTGTTCGTCTGTCATTGTCACACCGCGCTCCCATCGCAAACCCAACCATTGACAACTTCTTCATAACCGTCAAACCTTCCCGCCCGAAAACGTACCTCCACGTCTGGCGCCGTTTCGATTTGGATCGATTGCCTGGCTGCATTGGCCCTCGGGACTCGAGCTCTGTGCCGCTGGTGAGCACGGAACAATATGACAGTGCATCGTACCCATACACAGTTGAGCTGATAGACGCCTTCACAGGCTGACCGGCAAACGGATCCACCACTCCACTCTGCTGCCGCCTCCCGTGATACCGAGCAACGCGTCTGCAGCCTGCCAGAATCTACCACTCGCCCGGGCCAGATCCATGGCTACAAACGCTGTCTCTAGACGCACTCGCCGTGTCTACTCGGCGGAAGAGCTTCATCGCCTTCGCAATACACAGTCGCAGCCGAAGCTGTCCGAGGCAATTGAGGAGCATGAAAGCGAAGATGCAGAGCTGGTCAAAGGTATGATCGACACTAAGCTTGCCCCTTCACTCAATCATAGCACACAGACTCCCAACTTTGCACGCTCCTCATAGGCTAGGCGCTCGGACTATCGGAGCTCACTCCCGTGCACCCTCCCGCGCACACTATCAATTTACACAATCATTTCTTCCCTCCACTCGCTGTCTTGCGTTTTCCATTCACACCTGTCAACACCCGCATTTGACGATGCAGAACGAGATACTCGACGCGCAAGAGCGCGCCTCGGAGCTTGCGTGGCGCGCGGAAGGAAACATGAACGACCTCAAGTTCTTACTTGAAGCAGGCGGCACATGGAGCAATGGCGAAGTCACCATTACTGATTATCGTCTTATAGAGCATGTGTTGAAGATCTCCAGATCTTTCGCCGCTCGATCGTACAGGGGGCGTCAGTCCACCGCCAGCAGTCTCCGAGTGCCATCCAACGCATCCCACAACGAAAACTCGTCAGTCAGCAGCCGCGGCGCGTTTCTGCCACCAGATTCACACGTAACTCAGCCTGAAGTGCTCAGCGACATTGTACCAAATGGTCAAGTTCTCCGTTTCCGACCCCGCAGATCACCAACGCCGTCTCTCAAGCGAGCCGCCGTTGAGGCTATCGTCAAGAGTCACGGCTCACCCAACCACATGCGCGTCACCGCCGGCGGACGAATTGTTCCCTCTGAGCAATCGCCTCTCTGCCAGCCTCGCTACGGCTACAGTGCAATTAAAATGAATGGTAGACTCATCAAATTCGCACCGAACGGCCGTTTCGGCAACAGACCACAGGAACTAGAGCACGCAACGGACCAGAACGGTCAGGTTGTCGAAGACATGCACGGCAATTACTTTCAGATCGTCAACCACAAGATCCTCCCACTGCAGACGCGGCCAGATGGCTCCATGGAGCTCCACATGGCAGCATCAAATATCAATATGTCGCAACAGCAAGCTCTCCCGCCCCATGCTCCCAGCATGCCGCCCTTTCGTCCCGCCGGCCAATCTGCTGAACCAATCGTCAAAAATTCTGTCGTTGTACCTGAGCCGTCGCCTGCTATGCAGATCAAGGTGCTCAAAGCAGAGTATGTCATCCCACCGATCTTGACGCAACGAGCATAATGCTGACCAGACTCTCAGACACAAGCGTTATGAAGATGAGATGAGACAGCTCAGCCAGACAGAAGCGGTCCGTGGCCGTGAGATGTCTCAGCACGACAGAAATCGCCTCATTACACGACGCCGCCAGCTTGTGACCGAAGCGGACCAGGTCCGTAGGCGAATCAAGGAGCTCGAAAGTCGTCCACCGCAAGACGCACCAACTTCGCCACGAGCGATGCAAGGCAAGCATTCCATGCCGACAGCAGGGCGTGGCCGTGGCAATTTTCAGCCCATGCTGCAAGGCCCGCTCACGAATGTCGGCGCGCCACAGAAATACGGTCCAAGCCTGAATGGCCCATCGCCGAGTTTCGTACCCCAATTTGGGGCCACAATATCTCCAGAAGAAGGCTTCACCAATGCCTGGGCCGTTCCACCAAATGGTATATTCATGCCACCTCCACCGTTCGATGGCGCAATGGCTGGGCCTCTTCCCAACATGATGCCACTCACTGGTGCCCTAGCCCCTGTTCACAGTGAAATTCCCCAATGCGACGGTGCACGCTCCCTGGCCGATCACGGAGTGGACTCTCCTGACCGCTCGCGGGCTATCTCCATCAAAGCTCCAGAAGGCAAGTCGGGACTCAGATCCGTGTTGAACCCAATGAGCCCAGTCTACAAACCAAGCATGGCGGATGACCAAAAGATGGCTGCTCCTGCTGCTCAGCGTCGGGTGGTGACACCTCTTTCACCAATGCAGAAGCCCGCTGCACCAGTTCCAAGTGCTGTCAACTCGTCGATCGCGACAGATGAGACGGTAAGTCCTTCCAAGAGAGATACTTTGGTGCAGAGCTCGAGCGTTGCCAGCTTCGGAACGTCTGATTTCTTTCCCGACAACCCACGCGAGTATTCGGCTCGTCCATATGCTTATGAAAACTCGAAGGATCGTGAAAATGACAACCCACAGGACGATGCCGACGCCATTACCCCTGTTCGCGAAGCGTGGAAATCTAGTGCCCCTGACACAGGCAACCGCAATGATCCCGCCGCTCCACCTGGTACGCCGATCTACTACAGTGCGACTACCACTCACGCTCCTCAACCCGCCAAGGCCGAAAGCAGCGACCTGCGCCATACTCACGCGGATATCGCAGACCGCCAGTCTCACAACATTAGCCCAAAGAGTCGGCGCGAATTTGTGCTTGGTCAAGAGAATGGAGGTCAAGATGGCAATCCTACCTTCTCGTCGCCACCAGAGGACACGAGCTCGCAGAACTGTGTAATGGTGGGGAGCTTGCAGGAAAAGTCAGGCGACTGGCTTCATGGCTGGGCAACCGGCCTACAGCGTCGCGCATTCGACGAGAGACCCAAAGAATTCACTTCTGAGTGGCTCGATGGGTACTGCGAGGGCATCAAAGCATCAGTCCAACCCCGAACTGGTCCTACCACTGCTCCGCACCCCTCAACTATCAGTACCGCCTCACTGACCGCGATGTCAAACACCGGTAGCCCGATGAAGGCGCACTCCCGTCGTCCAAGCCCTGCAATGGCGTCGCGTTCATCGAGCAGGCTGCAATCAGTTGAGAATGCTCCAGGAATGTCTCGCCCACCGTTTGAGATCAGCACACGCAGCATCGATGGGCTCAAACAAGCCATCGTTGCACCGCAGAATGAGAATGCCGTCCTGACGCCCGCAGCTAATGGTCTACACGTCTCTGAGACTACCGTCAACCTCGGTGCATGGGCCAAGAAGCCGCACAATGGCCCGACCATGGAGCTTCCTGGACTTGGGTACCCAATCCCGCAACGCAACAGCACAGCCCTCCGTCATGGTATTATGTCAGAAGGCAACAACGACATGGGGACAAAGGCTGCGTTCGATTGTGCTCCCGAGCAGTTGCAGCCCACGCGACCAGCTCTCGCACCCACGCTCAGCACTGCAAGCGTCGCATCTGGCACCATTGGTACAGGCGGCGGCATTTCCACCACCGGCAACCGGATTTCCAGTCTGGCTAGCATCGATTCGAGCTTGCCAGGACAGTGGCCAGCAAATCGTGTCATGACTCCCAGCGAATGGAGGTATGCGGGTGCATCGCAGAATACCAGTATCACTACAGGCTTCTTCGCACAGTCACAGTTCGATGGTACGGATGATGCCCTATTGTCTGCTCGCCCTGCAACTCAGCTGACGACCGGTGTCCCAGGAGCTCAGCAACGCGTCACCAGCGATAGTCACGATCGCTCGTCTTCCCGTGGTCGTTTCCGAGAGGGTTCGATCGATAGAGTCACCAGCCCTCCAACCTCGCCGCGCGTGATGTCTCCTGCAACATCGTCACATGGTACTCCAATCCAACGCGATGGCAAGAAGGTCAGCCCTCGCAAGGGCCCTTCGCCAACCAAGGTGATTGGGAACCTTGCGGAGAGGGTGGGCATCAAGGTCACTTCTCCGACTCCATTCGAGACGGGCGACGAGCAGGCCAGTCCTCCTGGTAAGCGGCACTGGGGCATGCGTGATTGGATGAAGAGCAACAAGGGAAACAATGTCTAAGCCCATCGATATGCCATCGCCAACCCTGCATACACTTCTTAGCCTCTCAGAATGCTCAGGACACGGATCAGGATAAGCTGCAGGTTCTTTGGTTATCACCTTGGTATCTTCAGACACAGCTTCATCACCACTCCGGCATTCCGACGATCCAGCATTACCCCCACAACACTACTCACCTTTCCAAGCATGGACTACCAAGCTTTCTCATTCGTGCCTTGAGCGCACATCACTCATCACCTCGAGTCCTTTTTTTTTACGATGAAGCTACTTTGCACGACTACTACTACAACCTGCAGTCGGGCACACCAAATGTACAGCACACGCTGTGGGGGGTGCATTACTGTCGACTTTGCCTCTTTTGTGTTGGCCTGATGCATTAGCTTGACATCTTGCGCAAGAAGAGTCGCTTGATATGGCGATGCGATTGCGAAAACAAATGGACATGAAAATGAAGAAAAACATGATAGAAGAAGATTGCAGAGAGATGGCCGAGCAAGATTGATTACCTGTTGTGCTTTTGATGTGCACTGTACTGTAACAGAAACTGTAATAATATTTGAGACTTTTTTGATTTGAACCTGCCGTTGATTCCTTTGCTTTGTCTGAGTTGATGGGCCTCGAGACAAGGTGAGATTTGAGGCTGTATCCAAGGTACATGTACATGCAGTGCGAAGGCTCGTAGTGTTGTTTTAGGTATGCTACTGCATTTTCAAGACACGGTGGGCGAAATTCATGATTCCTTTTGCATGAATAAGAGTAGGGTCGGAAGAAATGATGGATGTGTGTAGATGTTACTGGGGTGCTTCATACATATATAGTATCTCTTTCCCCTTCTTTCCCCTTCTCCTCCCTCTTTTTTTATCACTATTATTACTATTCTATCATTTATGAATTATGATGCCGTCGCCGCCATCTCACAATCGACAAACCCGCTTCGTCGATTTCTGCGGAAAATTCTTTGGTATAGTGGAATTTTGGGGTAGTTGAAGTAGTAGCTTTAACCGTAGTAGGAGTAGGAGTAGAGGGTTTCTTTTGGTGGGTTTGGTGACGTTTTGGAGGTGGAGGTTCTTTGTCGTCGGTAAGATGGGGATTATGGGGATTGATGGAATCGGGGACAAGTTGAAGTTTGCTTTTGCGTTTGGTGGGGGTTTTCTTGTTGTTGTTGGAGGGATTTGGGAGATGAGGGAGGGTTGGATTTGGTGGTGGTGGTGGTGCTGTTGCTGCTGCTGGGGGTATTCTGAGTTGGTGTTGTTGTTGTTGTACCTTCTCCCAGCGACAAAAAGAGAGACCAGTCGAGTCGAGAACAGGAATTTTCTTCATAATAGAAGAAGAAGAACGCTTCTCTACCGCCGTCGCCGTCGTCGCCGCCTCTGTGTTATTGCCACTCTCCACATCCACCCCAACAATTGCATGATCATAATAAAAAATCTCAACCCTCTCATCTCTCGGCCCAATTCCCACATCCCAACATTCCCCTCCCTTATTCCTCCTCGCCACCACCACCCATCGATACAACCACGCCTTGGGCACATACCCCTCCGGACCCGGCTCCAACATTTTCGGCTGACGATACCAAACCCCACCTCTTAATTCCGAATTAAAATACCATTCCGTAAGATATCCCTCACGAATCATAATCCCATTGGCATCTCTGCGATCATATGCCGTATTTTGAATTTTCCACCAGATTTTTTCTTTTGGTGATAAGATTTTATTCGGTTGCTGCTGCTGCTGCTGCTGCTGCTGCTGCTGCTGCTGTCCTTTGTTTGGCTGTTCGGATGCAGATTCCGGAAGAGCTCCATTACTAACATAATCCCAAGGAGAATACTGTGATTTGAGTAAACCCGCGCGAGCGCGTTTGTAGGCTTTGTCGCGATAGACGTGGCGGTCGGTTTTGCCGGGGAAATCGGGAATGTCGCTGCGGCGGGGGGCGGCGAGGAGGTCGCTGAGGGAGATGGTGGACCAGTGGGTTTGGCCCGTGGGGGAGATGAGGTCTACGGCTGTGGGGGATTCTTCTTTTTCTTTTTCTTCTGGTTTGCTATTGTTGTTTTTGTTGCGCTTGTTGTGGTGGTGGAGATTGGATTTGGTGAGGGAGCGCTTTCGTTTTAATGTCCATTTTGGGGTGGTGCCCGTGGTACTGGTATCGTGGTAGTAGTAGTCTTGGTGAGGGTTGGACTTTACTCTTTTTTGGAGCGATGCAAGTTCAGTGGCATAAGCCCGTTCAACGGGATTCAGCGGTGTTGTTGTTGTTATTGTCGAGCGACGGTGGACTTTTCCATCCGTAATGACCATGGTTGAAAAAGGGAGGAGGAGAAAGATTGATAATCTTGAGAAAAAAGAAGAAGCTTCTTGCGAGAGGAATGCTGATGCATAAGATGATTTGTTTCTCGCTATCTGTTCACATTCGCCGCCACGCGATTTCCACGCGGAGAAGTAGAAGAAAAGAATGTGTCTCTGAAGCTGCTAGGTTTCTATCAAAGAGAACGGCATGTCTGGAACACAAAGACCGCTCAAATTGTCAATGTTCTGGAACCACTGCTGCGAATGGATAAGAAGTGGCGTTTGCGAAGAACAAAGGAAAAAATGTGCCGGACACGACGAATAAGACATCATTGCATTGTCCAGACGCAGCAGCAGGCAGCCGTCCCGTGGTCGGGCATGATTTCCAGCTGCCCAGATACAATAGTCTCAGTCTCAGTCTCTCTCTCTCTCTCTCTCTCTCTCGGCATCTCCGCTTCTTTCGCTTAATCAGTCTTGGTTTGGGGTATCCTGGTCTCTCATCGCTTGAGTAAAGAAAATGTGTGCTCGCTCGCTTTTTCCATATGATGAAAAATCAAAAAAATCTTCATGCGCTCAAAATGTTCCAAACGCAAGCGATGCCTTGCGGGATTGCATCACAGCATTATATCGCTGCATAGCTTCTGCCGAAGTGGCGACTCCCAAATCGCTTTGGAGCGGTTGGGACTCCAGTGCCGGGTTCCTCAACTGATATCGTCGCAGGTCGTTTTCACGCTCATCGAATAGATCGATGAGCATTTTGGTGTTGACAGTGACTTTGACGGATTTGACCCTCTTGACGAGACCATCGATGGAATCGAGCTCTCGCTTTCGCTTTCGCTTTTCTTGGGGGGCATCGGGCAAAGGAAAGTAGGGATTATGCTGGTTCGGGGCCTTCATGGTGAATGTGAAGGCTGAGGTAGGAGGGCAGGCATCAGGCGTCAAGTCGACATAATCTGCTTGGACCAGAGGACACTTTTCTTCGTGTATTGTGGTGGTCGTTGTTGCACTCTTGGTGGACCGCCGTCGAGCAATATTTCCATTCGAAGGCGTGAGGATAGTGAATTCCTGGTGTGTGATGTTGCTGAGTGGCTGGTCTTGGTTTTTCCTTGATCGGGATTTATTGTTCTGTGATGGACGGCGGTGCACTGCCTCTGAGAGCGTCTTGAAGTGAGTGAAAAGTCGCATTGTTGCTGTTGCTGTTGCTGTTGCTGTAGTTGGATGGTCTGGTAGTGAGTGAGCTTCTGATCGAATATTGGAGGGCTGAAGCTCAGCATTTGAAGCAGCCATGATGGCATCCAGCCACGTTGTTGCCATAGTAATCCATATACGTGTAGTATGCTGGGTGACGAGGCTGGCGACAGGGATGGCGGTATTGGCAAGATAGAAGTGACTGGGTTCCCCATTAAGAGCCGGCGCGTCAAGGCTTAGAGTTTGGCCTCAATTGGGCTCTTAAGTGGCTGGAAGTCCCTTTAATCCGTAAAATCAGGACATCTTCACCCTCCTGACGTGGCTGGACACTCGCCAATGGTGTCGCCAGCCACAGCACCATCCCTTACACCGTCTATCGTGACTTTGACAACGAGGAGGCCGGTCAAAATCTAATCTAAGGTATGATCGGGCTCCAGCCTTCCAGATCTTGTCCCTACAGGTACCTAGGCACCAACGTTTCTGTTCAGGGCCTCAGGGCACCTGACAGCTATCAGTCATCGCGCATAGCTCTATAACGGCGCTGCTATACCGTTACACTTCTCTGCAGAGCATGTCCGCCAGTACACCATGTATGACGTGGCCCGCCCATTGTGCGCGAGACAGAGCAAGATACTGCATGTGTTATGAAGCGCCCAAGCTGTATGATGCTTCTCATCAGAATGACAAAACACATACAGTCACCACTGATCCTGCTTTCGCGCGCCTGCTGAGCCACTGATCGACGCCCAATGCTTACTACTCTACTACACGTGGTGCCCAAAGTACATTCATTAGTGCCTCACTCCTTCATACCACACATATCCTGGTGTGTTCATCAGACGTCAGGCCGCCATCGAAACTCTCTTCTTCCGCAAGATCGCGACCCCTTCGACGTGGCTGGTTTGTGGGAAAAAGTCGAATCCTCGCAGGCTCTCAATCTCATACAGACCCTCATGCCGAGGCCCCTCGCCTGCGTCGCCCGGCAGTCCTCCGACCAACCAGCCAATGTCTCGTGCTTGTGTGTGCACGTTGCATGATACGTAGCACACTCGTGCTGGTCCATATTGCAGCAACTGGCTGATGAAGCCCTCGTCGCACCCTTTTCTCGACGGATCAATCACCACCACCGTCTCCTCGGGCGGGAACTTCTTCGTGTCGAGCGACTCGAACAGCTTGTTGGCGTCGGCGGCGATGAAATGTGTGGCATCTTCCGGCAGGTTGTTGAGTTTGGCATTCTTACTTGCAAATTCGATGGATTGCGCCGAGACGTCAATGCCGATGCTCTGCCGGAACATACTCGACAAGTTGATGGTGAAGAAGCCGGACCCACAGTACGCATCCACCATATGCTTGATGGTCGGCTTCTTCGATGCGTCGTCGCCATCTGTGGTGCCCAGAATCTGATCGCGGATATATTGCGTGACGACCGGTAAGATCGAGTTGTTGTTCTGGAAGAATGCGCCTGCAGGGTTGTCGAAGCGGTAGTCATCCACATACTCTGTCGATGTCGCTTTGTGGTCTGTAATGCAGACCTTGCGATGGATATGCGTCCCTCTGTCCTCCACGACCTCCTCCTCGCCATCGCCTTCCGTACTGACTTCGATCGTGTTATCCGCTTTGTTCTCTCGCTTTGTGCTTTCGCGCAACAGCAATGTCGCACCCTTCTGATACTTGTCAATGTCTGCCGCTACGCGCACCCTCTCACGCTTCATGCCCATCCTCACAGCTTCCGTGCCGATCGGACAATCTTCAATATCCATCGTCTTGCGAGTGCCTTTCAGCATGAAGCCGATCGGCGGCACTCCTGGCCATGTCACCTGCTTGCCATGTCTCTTATCCCTCCTCCCTCCTGGCGGGCCATCAAAGTGCGGCGTCAACTTTGTGCGATAGCCATATTGCAGCGGCGAGCCGATCGTGTCTCCCACCGTCGGCAGCGAGGACGCCGGCAAATTGGAGAAGTTGCGAAACGCCTTCTCGACAATCGTCCTCTTGTGCGCGAGCTGCGCTTCGTAGGGCATATGCTGAAACTGACAACCTGAACATTTGGTGAAGTAGGGACATTGCGGGTCTGCAGTACTCGTGGGACCTTTCGAGACGCGCTTGACAAAGTCTGCGAGAGAGTAGGACTGTTCTGCAAAATGCTTGTATACTCGCGCAGTGACAACATCTCCCGGAGCGGAAAACGGGACAACATATACTTGACCATCCTGTTCTGCCAGCCCGTCGCCTGTGGACGAGAGCGCCTTGATGGTCACGTCGATTTCGGCGTGCTCTTCATTCTGCCGTCGCGCCTTCTCCTTTGCTTCTTCTGATACGCTCACATCCTGGAGGAGATTCTGGATATCCGCTAGCAACACTTCCTCATTCGAGCCTTCAGCGACCGTGCTAGTTTTTTGCTTCTTGCTCTTTTTGAAGTGTCGCTTGCCTTCATTAAATGGTCGCTTTTGAGCCATAATTGTCGATGTGAGTGGCTGAAAGGGAATGTGGAAGAAGCAGCGACGAAGCTTCAGCATTGAATTGCAATGTGCTGCTTTTTCTTTTGTCTCTACCTACCTCAATCCATCCCCATCCCCGACTTTTCTCACGAAAAAAGATTAGTAGCTAAACTTCATCTTCACTCTAAGTGGCTGAAATATGCCAGACGCTAGCGGATTGTCAACAAGGCCCGCCGATTGCCATGAAAGTCCTCCCCCCTGTCTGGTCTACTTCTGCTGACTAAGGAGGTACTCAACAACAAACTTTCACGTGGAAGAGATGCTGCTGCCTTCGATGATATCATTATCATCGATATCGTCAGCAGCACCCTGTATCGATACTCCCCCCCCCTTCAAACATTCAATGCATAGAATCAATCCTCCTACTATGCTACACCCCCCGCAACAGGCACCCGTAACCGTAATAGCTTCCAGGCCCCTCTCAAACACTAACAAAGGCATAACATCGTAGCCTTTGATGAAACTTCTTCACGGAACGGTACAAAGTATCAACCAGGTAGGTCTGTAGGTATCAAGGGTAAACTTCAACAAAAAGACAACCTGACTCTATACCTACCTAGGTAGGTACCTTAGTAGTATGAAACTATTACCCGTACAATTTAAATCTTTCTAGACTCTTCTATACAAAACTTTTCAATGGCTGTGGATAATAGATCTGGGACATTTTTTTTTTTATTATATGTCGAGGAATGCCTGAGTTGGTTGCCTAATTCGATACGAGAGGGAGGGTTTGCGTAGGTAAGAAGCTTTTTGGGGGGGGTTTGTTTGTTTGTGGGATGTGTTCTTTGTGGAGGTGGGTGGATTTTTATGGGGTGGGGTGGGATGGGATGGGATGGGATGGGATGGGGAGGGAGGGAGGGAGAGGGAGGGAGAGAGAGAGAGAGAAAGAGAGAGAGAGAGAAACGAGGAGCAGTGAGTTGCGGTATTCAGTAGTATGTATGTAAGGTATGTATGTATGTACACGTTCAGGTGTATGTTCTCTGGGACTTTTTCAAGATCTCGATCGAGGACCAACTAGGTACTCTTCGTGCTCCGAAATTGCCAACTTATGACATTTGTGCAATATGACCTGGCTCGTCGCAGCTTCGTCTTGTTTAACCAGAGATATCACAGCTCCATATCCACGTACTGAGGTTTGATCTGGTCCAGTTTTGACAGAGTAGTATGACATATTGGCTTCCGGAGAGATCCCAAGTCGATCGATACGAAAGATGCGACATGAATTCCAGCATCTGCCAGTCGGCTCGTAACTTCAGGGGTCCTATACGCGACAAAGTCCTGCACATGCCACTCCAGCATAAAAGAGACATCCATCTCTGAGAGGTCCAGCAGCGGCAAAGGTCTGGCTGTTCTACGAAAGCACGCGCGTGCGGAGTTGCTGTCGGCTCTACTCGAGTCTCGCTTCCCTCGTAACGGGACGATACGGTAAGGTACCAGGTATTATTGGGAGTTGTTGGAGCCTCTTTGAATGACGACGAAAAAAAAAAAAGAATCCCGACTGGCCCGAAGTTGAATCGACCTTGTTGCCGATTGACGGCGTTGCTTTGATAGAGTCCCCCAGAAAATCTCATGGCTTTACTTCGGGAAATCTTTGATCGATCAGCGATCGTGAAGAAGAGGGGTGGTGCCCCATGCGTTTTTGGACGGGTGACATTGAAAAAAAGTCATTTTCATTTTGGGGTGGGGTGGGGAAACGACAAAGTCGACGGCCTCGAGTATCCAGAAGGCCAATGGAAATTCATCGTGGAGGGTAAGAAGAAATTTGTGCAGGCATTGATGATCTCTTGTTGCGAATGGAGAAGGCTCGTAGGCGTGCTTTGATGGGTTCACTGAGTGTGGATGATGTTGGCGAGGAGGCAGACTCTGATTTCTCGGTGGTAGAGCTTGCTATGCTGCCCTGGGACTCGGATCGTTCTCTGGTCTCGGCCAGGACATCGTCCAGGCTGACATTGTCGCGCGAGTATGGTGTCGTCTTGGTATCCAGGATTTCCACAAACTTGGAGGCTGCCATTGATTATGCCGGCGTTTGATCTTTGATTCTTGGTGGATAGCTAGGACCAGAGAAGAAGAAGAAGAAGAAGAAGGGCGGCAAGTTGATCAAGTACAACAGGAAGATGGGATCGACACGCACGAAAGGGAGTACATAGACGGCAAGAATATATGTATGTGCAGATCAATAGGACTAGACCCCATCGTCGAACCCTGGACCGGACGAGCTGCAAGCGTTGCCCCTGCGGCAGAACACCAAGACCAATTCGGGAGCCGCGGGCGAGGAGCGGCAGCTGGGAGACGACGCTGACGAAGAGGACTACGAGTCTACGACAGACACTACCTACCTGACGTTAGATTGAAAAAAGGCGTGGTATACCAGAAAAGGAACCGCTACGCCACCCGCACGGCGCACGCCTCCTGGACCCGACGGTTGACGGCCGGCGCCCGCGTCCACACTCCACAGCAGCTCGCGACGACGGACGACAGACGACAGGTGATGAACAAGGACCCCGAGGCAGCAAAAAGAGGCCCACGGAGTCCGAGACAGCACACGCGAATGAAGTGGACGAGACTCATCACAATCACACTCTCCCTCACACACCTCATCTTCTCTCCTACGGTCTACCTAGATCCTATGACGATGATGATACACCACAGTCACCACAGTCACCACACACGCACACACGCTCCCGCACTCATCTTCTGACATGCGTTTGCGATCCGAGTCTGACACTGCGTCGTTTTTATCCCACTTGGCATCGCACTTTTTTGGCTCCGACATCCTGCGCCTCCCCTTCCCCTCGCTCTTCTCTTCCAGCTTCCTAGCATTTTTTATCTATCTCTTCCCCCCCATGCATGATCGAACAGCATTCCGGCATGACAGCATGGTAGCGAGCAGTACGACTTCCGAGCCTGTCTGCCATGGCTTGTCGCCAACACGTGCGCAGCAGCAGCGTCAACCAACAGACAGACAAGTTACAGGGTGGGAGGATTCGTATATTTTTCATTTCTGCACACACGCCTGTCTGTCCTATCTGTCCTGTCTGTAGTAGGTAGAAGAAGGGTAAAAGTAGAAGACTGTCGCCAGAGCCCTCTCCCCTTACGGGAGCCTACGAGACAAGTATCGAGTCATTATCAGACACGCACTACCTCCTACCTTTTGGAAGCCGTTCTGGACCGTTCTCCAAGCTTTTCTTTCCATGTACCTCCAGGTAGCGCAAAAATAGGTATAGATAGATAGACTCCCTTGACTCTTGGCATTGGTTGAGAAAGTCACGGAGTCGGACTAGGCACCCGAAGTCCCAGACTTTTTCCATTTAGCATCTGCAGCCTTCTGGACCGCGCCCGGCCATGGAACACACTTTCTGAGCACTTCACCTGTCCGGAAATGCTGTCATCGGTACACAGCACAGCACAGCACTCCTCCAAACCATGTCTTTCTTTTAATCTCGGGGCAATCTCTCAGACGAAAAAGACAGTGGCCGGGCAGTCTCCCTGTTCCCTTTCGGAGAGAGAGATGCAAGCTCATGTCTCCAGTCTGCCAGTACCTCCTAGGAGGTAGTAGATAGACGGACGGACAGACCAGACATCCATCGATCGTCAGTGGCATCAGGTAAGGTAGTCACATTACCGGTTGCATGAGGACCAGGCACATGCACATGGACTCTTCCTCTTGCAGCAGAGCTACTAGCCTCGCGAACAGCAGTGCTACACTGAGGTACCTAAGGTACCTAACTCCCTACCTCTACGTTTAATAATGCCATTCATGACCCAAAAAGGCTTGTGATGACCGCGGACTCCGGTTCAAGACGATCACTTTTTTCGCTCAATCGACAGGCGCTCTTGATAGCTCTTTTTTAGCATCTAGACGGCACTTTTTTGCATCGCGTAGGTAGGTAGGTAGGTACCTGAGGTAAGGTAGGTAGGTCAGGTAGGTAGGTGGATGAGAATCATATGACCCTCCCTAATGCAGTAGGTAAATTCCCTCTTTACCTCAAGATACCGTTGGGAAATCACTACTCGTTTACATACCTGGTATTGAGGTATATTCGGTTGCAATAGCAAGACCTGCAGACTAGAACTGCATCCTACTATACCTTACCTTCGTATTGTTATTTTTTCCTTTGTCGTAGCTGCCGCATGTCAACGAGCATAAGCAGAAAAAAACAAAAACTCTGCTACGGTAGGCCCTCTACAAATCTGTTATCTGTTAAGATTATATGTTCTTTTTTCTTTTCGAGTTCAGTCTGCAGATACTACCTACCTTACCTTACCTTACCTTACCTTACCTATATGTTAGCTACTTAATAGCCCGTACAGGTAACATAGTACGGCTTCGGGAAAGGTTGAAAAAGGGTCTTTCTCGTACCGTAGGTAGGTACAGGTAGTTAGGAGAGGTATGTCTGTATCTAGAAGCACAAGCACAAGCACCAAGTACAAGTATACGAATATGTACACGAATATGTACACGTACCTAACATACCTTACCTATATACACTTACCTACATACATTGCAGATATGCTTTTTCTTTTCTCTTTTCTCTTTTTTCGTAGGTCCATACATACATACATACATACATACCTTACATGCATATGCAGTTACCTAGTTACCTAGCTACCTAGTATATATAATCCGTCTTTTTTCGCTTTCCGAAAAAGAGGACGAGTACGAGATTCTAGGAACGACGAGACTTGAAGTAAAGTATGTATCTGACTACCAATATAGTATATAGTCGACTTTGGTAGTAAAGTAGGTACCTATAGGTACCTTACTTATCTTACCTTGGTACTATCCGCTGGCTCGCTACGGGTGGGATAATAGAGGAGGAGGAGGAGGAGGAGGAGGAGGATGTGCTGTGGAGAAGGTCTGTCTGTATGTCTGTCTGTCTGTTTGTTTGTCTAGGTACATATAAGGTAGGTAGGTAGGTATCAAGAAATGATGACTTCTCTTCGCTTCGATTCGGACGACAGTAGGGCGTTGAGATTGTAATACTGTAAAATGGGCATACATCTGCAATAACAATACTCTAGAACGAAACTTCGAAAAAGAGATTCCGTCTCAGTACGAACTGAAAAAAAAAGTCGTTTACCATTACTGTAGTACCTAGGTACCTTAACTAAGAAACAACCACAAAAGGAATCTGTCTTTGCCTATCTGAGCACAACCGACGACACCACAGGCCAGACCATCTTCTTGCCCATGATCACTCCTTCTCTCTCACTCACTCACTCACACACACACACACACTCTCTCTCTCTCAAACAGTCATGCCCCCATCAACCGAGTATATCGAACCGGTAACATAACTCGACTCCTCTGACAGCAAAAATGCAATCACATTGGCAATCTCCACTGGTTCTCCCATGCGCGGTATGGGATTAAAAGTCACGATTCGATTCAAAGATTCTTGACCCATAGTCTCGACCAAATTATCCGTCATGGGCGTGCGGATCATGCCGGGACACACGGCATTGATGCGAATTCCCGCAGAGGCGTATTCTCGCGCGAGAACTTTGGTGAGGCCGACGACGCCGTGTTTGGAGGCGACGTAACTGGGGAGAGAGAGAGAGAGGTGATGGGAGTTAGCACTTCTTCCAGTGTTCTTACTTGTTAAAGGTTTTCTTTTCTTTTTCCTTCTTTCTTGGTTTTCTTTTTCATTTCTGACAAAACATAGGGAGGGATGTCGAATGAGGCAGGGGATAGGGAATAAAAAGCTCGACTTACGCCGGACTTCCCGCAGCTTTCAAACCCGCCACAGAGGAAACATTTACTATCGACTTGCTGCTGCTTCCAGCACCTCCTTCTCCTGCTACTGCTCCCCCGCCACTGGTAGCATTCGCCTCAGTTTTCTCGGTTGGCGCACTCATATACTCCAACTCCGCATGCATACAATTCGCTAAACCAGTCAAATTTGTCGAGATGGTCGCTCCGAAATTGTCAATCCCACGCTGTTCATGCCAGCGCACTTTCACACTAGGGTAATCAAACGACCCAGCTGCATTGACAGCTCCGTCCAATTTACCAAATCGGTCGACAGTAGCTTTGAGCCAGGATTGGACTTGCGAGAGGTCGCGGACGTCAACTCTTTGTGCGAACACGGCATCGGTGGTGACGGCGGCTGCTTGTTCTTTCCGTTGCTGCTCCGTCACGGATTGGGATATTTCGGTAGCTGCGCTTTCGAGTTGCGACGACATGTCTCCTATGCTGACTTTGGCGCCGCGTTGGACGAGGACTCTGGCTGTTGCGAGGCCGAGGCCGGATGCTCCTCCAGTAATGGCGAAGACTTTGCCGGAAAACATTGCTCGTGCCATTTTTCTTGCTTTTATATCTGGTGTTTCTTTTCACTGTTACTTTTGCTGAAAGTTGTGAAAGGCTGATGTAGGTGATGTGGCACCATTTATTTCTTTTCCATCGACTACTGCCACTCTAGCTGGGAGCCCAAGGGATAAATACTAGTGCCGACCTTCTCTAGTGCTGATGGACAACTGCGGGGATGTAGATGTCTTTGTTCAGTAGTGTCGCGCCAAGTAGCGGAGATGGTTCTCGAAGTGAAGTTGAAGAGGGGAGGCAATGACTGTTTGACCAATTGCAAACATACTCAGCCCTCACCAGAGATTTTGTGGCACTTCTCGATACTTTGCGGATTGACATAATTGTCACGGCAAGTTGAGAAGCGGAGCGGCAAGTCAAACAGTCCGCGCTTCCATCCCCTATGCATAGGCCAGGCCACGGGTAGGGATGAGCCGGATGGCGGCCAGGTCCCCAGTCACAAGCGTAGCGTATATTTCTTTCCTCATTCGTATACACACTGTTCGCAGTGTTCAGCATTATTCCCCTCCAGATGTCAATCGCGCCCCAGACTAACTCAACTGTCTTGGCCTGATCCAGCTCCCCTTCTGGAACATTGCCAGCTGGTCGCCTGCCACCGACATCCTCTGCCACATGCGGCCATTGGCAGACAGGCCTCGACGATTATACCCCCTCACTCGCAGCTTCATTGACGAACTTGGTGCCATGGATCTCTCATGCTTGCTTCTCTCCAGAGACCAGAGCGTGGAATGTACCATACAGGCGAATTCACGCTTGGAATCATGGCGGACCATAATACATCATCAGTTTTCCGCCAGCACTTTGAAACTCGCGCACGTCGGGATTCCCATGCATGCCACCCGGAATGATGGCAGCCGCAAAAGCCACGGCATCTGGATTTATATCTTGCCGGTCCCAAAGTGAATCGTGGTATACAGCATACATGTATATGTGATATCGATTGAAAGATGGCCCAAATTGGGGGGCTCGGGGCTGTTGGATGTTCACGAATGATGAAGATGGAAAGTGGCATGGCCCCCAGGAAAAGAAAGATCTGAGACATGCGGCCCGAAGGAAGCCAGCGCCAAGAACAGTCTCAACTGTGCGGCAGTTAGGGTCTGATCCTTCGAACCTCTCCACTCCATGTTCCCATCCCGACCGACGTCACGCTCATGCTGCCATTTCTTCGCTGTCTCTGCGAGTCTGCGAGCATATCATATCGGGGAGCAGAGTAGCGAGGAGCAGATACTCAAGCTGTGGCACCGGTGTCAGTACTGGTTGCCACTGGGAGCAGCTGACTGCTGAGACCATCGTCGTATAGGACAGGACGCTGGGACAATGGCTTCCCGTGGCATGAAGAATATCGACAATGGCTTCCCGTGACATGAGGAATATCGACAGAGCTCCCGTCATTTGCTATTCTGGTGGCACCCATGCAGTAATGACGCCGTGAGTGTACGCTTCATCGGAGGATATGGAGAAAGACTGGCCGAAGACATAGATCCAGTTCCCGGGAGGTAGGTGTAGGAGAGATCAGAATCGAGGGTCTTGAGTCTTCGAGGACAGTCCGGTCTCTTGAAGGACCTCCATTGACACTTGCCTCGAAGGGCATCGCTTGACAAGACAACGCAGGAGGAATACAACAGTTGCGCGTGAGGGTGTGCCCCATATCCCTTCCTCCTTATCCTTCATTGCCAAGAGCATGAAGAGCAGCAAGATGTGTAGACTCCACGCGCGCCTCGGAGACTGGGGCCCTCTTTCGCAGCCCATGCGAGCCTTCTCTGGCGAAGGAGAGCGAGGACCTTCCGCAAAGCAGAGGGTTGGAGGCGGCCTTCGGGGGAGCGACAGTGTCCAGGGCAGACAACTCTTCTCTAGCACGGGGCACTCTTCATTCTCAAGACTGTTGTTGCGAGTAGGCTGGACCAGGACACTTCTCCTGCGACATATCTGATGGCTAAGGGGTGGGTGTGGATGGCAACAGCCGCTCGCTAGCGCCACCACTGCTGGGCCTCAGGTCGCGTCTGCAAGCCGCACACACACCAGAAATACCGAAGCAGCAGCAACACACGCACCGAAGATGGATTTCTCACCGCTACGAGACCCGCCGCGTGCTGTCTGCTCTGCCATGCTCGCCACCACACCACCCTCCGCGCCGCCGCAGACACCACCACCACTTTTTCTCGCGCCGCCCCCTGCTGAAGAAGACGCTTTCGCCTCTCAACGCGACCACATCCCATTCGAGGATGACTCCCCAAGCCACCAAGCCCACTCGCATGAAGACGAAGTAATTCCTCTGTCCTCCAGGGACCAGGCCCCGGGCGCGCACCTTGACCAGCGGAAGGTCATTGATCTCTGCTCGGAGAGTGACAGTGACAGTGACAGTGAGAGCTCGAGCTCGAGCTCCAGCGACACCGACACCGACACCGATAGCGACAGCTCCAGCGACAGCGAGAGCTCTAGCTCCAGCGATAGCGACAGCGACAGCGACAGCGACGTCGAGCTTCTGCCGGCGCGAAGTATACTACAGATACCGCTGCCACCGTCCATTCAGCAACTAGTCGACGCCCGTCAAGCACATCTCTCTGGGTCAGCAGGACAGCCCGCCAACGTCGCCACAGCCGAACGTCCATTTGCGCCAATTCATCCCGCACCATCGCTATATCCGTGGCACTTGCCACGTGCTCAAGAGTCCGTAGCCACCATAAACCCGGCACAATCGCCATCTACGCGGGCCCGTCTCCTACCTGCTCACGCATCTGGATCAAATATTCCCCCTTTCCTGCCTCTTTTCCCTCCATCTGCTCAGGCACCTGGATCTACTATAAACCCGGCACAACCGCCATCTGTCCTGCCCCGTCCTCTGCCTGCTGCAGTCACGCTAACAATGTTCACGGACGGATCCTACAAGCACAGAGAGGGAATGGGCGGCGCTGGTATCGCGTACCAGCAGGGGACCTCCTGGTTTGGGCGAGCCGTCGCCCTTGGAATCTTAGAGAGCTCGGACGTGGTAAGCATCTCTCTTCGTTTACAGATACGTGACCTAGGAATTTACGTCTGTCCTAACCTTCGCGATACTATCTAGGCTGAGATGGAAGCAATCCGACACGCACTGCGCATGGCTCAGACAATTGTGCCCTGCATAGGAGCCACGAAGCTGATTATCCAATCGGACAGCGAGTATTGTTTGCACGCCCTCAAAACTGCAGCAACAGGCCACCACACCAAATCCGGCCAAATGAAAGCAAGCCTCGACCAAGCAATGCTCATCAAAGCTGCTCTCGGCGTCGAGGTGAACTTCTGGTGGATCAAGGCGCACAACCACGCTGAAGGCAACGAGAGAGCAGACATGCTCGCCAATTTCGGCGCGAGGCAGAGCCTCGCAGGAAGTGAAGAGCGGGTGTGGGAGAACCCCATCCGGGGCCAACTCAACCGGTGCATGCAATGGCACGCCAAGGCGGCCTCACTGGACACTCGCGATGTGTTCGTGACGGGGGCCACTGGGCCGCCGCAGGGCTGGCGAGCTGTGCTCGCAGCGAAGGGTACTGCGCTGAAGGACGAGCATGCTCGCCGTAGAGCTGCACAGCTCGCCAACTTGGCCCGCCAGACGACTTAGCCTCGTACGTACGTACGTACGTTCATAGCTGTCCGTCTTGCAAAAAGTCTCCCCGCCCGTTAGTCTTTTCATCCAGTAGTACCTCTGATCACTCCCTTTTGAACCACGATGACCAATGTCCAGATGGGAAGCAACGCAAGTTCTCCTGTCTAGTGGAGTCACTGAATCGGTACAATAGCGATAGCCGTTGTTTGAAAATCAAGTCGAGTAAGTGATTTTTTTTCACTTTGACTATGTCAGCTTGATATAACACATTCTATCTCTGCGCTGGTTATGACCACTAGAGTGAGGAGTATATAGACTAATAGCAATGTAACGCGAATCGTCTAATAGAGAGAGGGTAGACGAGCTGAGGACATAGCCGTTTTGGAGGCTTGGATTAGGGAAGTAAACTTTTTCGTTTTTGACTATGTTAACTCTTGCTTTCCTGCATCTAACTACAACTGTAGTAATCAAAGACCAGATTAGGTGTAATACGAGTCGAGCCTTTTATCGGGGAGAGACTAGACTAAGGAACTTCCGTATTCGAATCATGTCTCTGATCTGATCTGACCTATCGTGTCTCTGCGTCTCGAAGTACTATTTCAATGACTAGGATGCGTATACTATAATAGCAATGCGGAATAGAACTGGACCGGAGAGACTGGTCAGGAAAGCAGGGGTAGTTCAACCAGGAGGACATCAGATAGCAGTATGCTAAAAAATGAGGGTATCTATCCTGAAGTAGGTATGGCATTGGAAAGGCTACCGATTCATCTGTCGTGCCATTAGATCATCGTCTTGACTGCTTCTCCTTCAACTATCGAATCTGCTGCCAAATGCACCTATTCTGGAATCGGTACTTATCGCGGGATATCAATGTGAATATCTCTACTAGTCGACCGCCAGAAGTACGAAACAGTGTGATGTCCAAGATGAGGATGAGGAATTTTGGGTTTAAAGTAAGTTGGAGAAGAAGTGAAGTGGTCAGCAACAATGAACTTCACGATCAAGCGCCAAGACATGACGCCGAGACTGTACCCAGGCCGAGGCAATTGGGTAGTCTAGCTCTACGGTCCACAGCTGACAACCTCGCTCTAGACAGACATCACCTTGTACAATCTTCAGCTACGTTTGGCTTTGTTGTCGACAATTCACTTCTCCCTGAATCTCCCTACTTCCCGGAAACCTCATAAGACTCCAGACTTTGTCCGCAATGGCATCCTCAGCCCCCAAGAAAAGACTCCAAGCTCTGAGCGAACAACTCCAGAACCCGATTAGAAGCGAAGGCAAATTCGAAGACTTGCCCAACATTCCCACTGTAGCAGGCGACTCCAAAGGACCGTACGTACATACCTATCATGATCCTCCCGACCTGCCCCATTCATTGCACAACCATACATGTATTCTAACACACCACCCCTTCCCAGCCGCACCCTCGGAAAAGTCGTCATCATCACTGGCTGCAACTCCCCCATTGGAATCGGTCGTGCCTCAGCCCACCACTTCGCCAACAACGGCGCCAAAGCAATCTACATCTCCGACTACCGCACCGAACATCTCGAAACGCACAAACGCGAGCTCGAATCCAAGTATCCGGGAGTCAAGATCCATCCCAAAAAAGTCGACGCAGCAGAAGAATCTGACATTTCCGCCCTCGTCGACGAATGCCTGGCCACCTACGGCCGATTGGACATTTTCTTCGCCAACGCCGGAGTTTCCGTCACTATGAGCAGCGTACTCGACGGCAACGCCAGTGATTTCATGGACGTGATGCGCGTGAATTCGCTTTCTGTATTCTTAGCAGTCAAGCACGGAGCACGAGGTATGTTGCAGACGGGCGCGGAGAAGAAGTTTCCCGGGGGAAGTATTGTCAGTGTGGCCTCTTCGGCGGGTATGCGATCGAATGCCGGCGCGACGGACTATTCGGCGTCGAAAGCTGCTGTTATTAGTATTATGCAGACGAGTGCGTACCAGTTGAGTGGGACGGGGATTCGATGTAATGCGATTTGTCCCGGGATTATTGAGACGGGCATGACGGCGCCCATGTATGAGATGGCCAGGGCGAGGGGGTCGGAGAAGAAGATTGGGCAGTTGAATCCGTTGATGAGAGGGGGTGTGGCGGATGAGGTGGCTAGGGTGGCGTTGTTTTTGGGGAGTGATGAGGCGAGTTATGTGAATGGACAGGCGTGGGCCGTGTGTGGAGGATTGACGGCTGGTCATCCTTTTGTTCCGGGGAAGATTGCTTGATATATTGATGAATCTGACCCCAAGTAAGTATAAGTATATATGAATCTCTATATATAGCAGATTATAAAACTGCTCGTCTTCCTTCTTTTCATCAACCCCCCAACAGAACCTCTGCAACCATCTCCACCATCTCCCCCTCCTTCTTATCCCTCCTCAACTTCTCCCACAACGCATACGCCGAAATGACAATCTCATCCACCGCAGCATGACTCACATCCCTCCGATCAATCACCAGCACGCCACCTTTGTCCAACTTGGCCATCACCTCCCCACTACTCACCACCTGCAACTCCCCAACCCCATCTTTGACCATTTTCCAACACCATTTCTCCCCTCCAAACACCGTACTCCGATAACACCACCGATCCGTCCATGTACCCTCATTGGACATTTTGGCTTCGTGGCCGGCGTGGAGAGAGAAGTAGACGCTCGTGCTCAATTCTTTGAATTTGACGGTTCCGAGGAGAGAATTGTCGTGAGCGCGGCTAAGGATGATGGGGTATTTCGTAGACGAGGAAAAGGAAGATTCTTTTTTCTTCTTATTGCTTTCGCCTCCTCCTCCCCCTCCTCCTCGGGAGATGTGGAAGAGAATTCTTTCGGAAGGGAGAAGTTTGATCACGTCTTTGGTCATGCTGGCTTTGAATGCTTGTTCGTACGGTGGTGGGACTGCAGCTTGTGATGTGGGGCGAGGAGAACAAGTCGGTGTTGCTGCTGTTGTAAGGCGAGATTGTACGGATGAGAGGAAAGACTGTCGTATTGTGGTGTTCGAAGAGGGAATGACGTTATTTGAAGAAACATAGTATTGACTGGTTGCGTAAGGGCGGTCTTGGTATGAAGGCAGATTGTTTGCAGGAACAGAAACGCGATGATTGTATCTGTTTGGTAAGGATGCATGTGCATGTGGCTCCTCCCTTGGCGGGAAGTGGTTGACGTGTGATGATATTCTGGTATCTCCATATGGAGGGTTCTGATCCTGGTATATCCCGTTCGAGTGTGTCTGATTGTCACTCTTCTTGTTCTTCTTCATCAAGAACCTCTGGGTGTTGTGTTGCAGTATTTCTTTGAACATTGTCGCCATGCTTGGTTCGACTTGCGTTCTTTATAGGCTGATCGGGCCTGCAGATTTATCAGGTGCAAATGCCAGTTGTGCGGCCGCTCAAACGATCCAGACGATATCGAGGGCTCTTTCGATGATTGAGCTGGAGTGTAGTCCACTACGCCCGTCTTCTTATTGTAAGAAAGTGAAGACTGCCTGACAGCTCTCAAACACTCGTCAGGTGCCTACATACCTTGTTCGGGGTATTCGCATGATACTCGGTTAATGCTGGAGATTGGACTTGGCGCGGTCAACGTCTCACTGCCAGCGCCGCAAAAGTTGGAGGAATAGCCTGAATGCTTCATCGACTCGAAACAGATACTGATAGTGGCCTCCTCAATGTGCAGAATGGGTTGGTGCGATCGGCATGCCTGCCAGCAGCGACTACCAGGTAGTAAGTATGCATATCAGCGCCACCCCTCCACCTCCCCCGTCCACATCCCCTGTAGATCCTCGGGGTGTCGTCTCGGCATTGATGCATGGTCAAGAGATAGCGAAGTGGCCTCGAGAAAGTGGCTAGATCTGAGAAGCTGTTTTGGAATCGATCTGTCCCAGGATGATTCAAACTACACGGCGACCCCTTTGCTCGCCCAACCCCCAGGCCCTCTCCAAGCCCAGAACCAAAGTCCGCAAGCCAACCATACGCAAACTGACATGGCCCAAAAGGTGGCCGCATAACATTTCACCCCATAACACAGTTTGTCTTCGACCACATCTGCAGTTCCACCCGATTCCACTGTTTCAAGACCTGCTGCCCACTGATATACCCCACTATACACCAGTCCCCAGATGGTGGCTCCTAAAGCTGGCATCATGGCACAGATTCCCCAGTTTGTGCCGAAATTCTCGACCCCCCAAATCACGCTGACGATGATTGGGGTGAGACTGAAAGCGGCTCCATAACCGGCACCGATCGATGCAGAGACGATCCAGAAGCGTTCCGCGTGTTCTTGCACAAAGCCAGTGGCGAGGACGACTTGGCCGACACTCATGAGAATGCAAAATCCAATGAGAAAGGTGACACGGGAGACCTCGACACGCTTCTTTTCAACAGGCAAAGGTGGCGGGAGGGAGGATATGCTGTTTGCTATGCTGTTTGGGCCACGTCTGTGCTGATGAGGAGATGATGTCGGTGCGAGTATGTCGGTGAGTGTTCCAGTGAGGATACGTGCGACTGTAGACATGACTGCTACGATCGAGACATGGGTCGCTGCACTTGTAGGGTTGCCACCCTCAGGGACGGACATTGGTGGGTAGAGGGTGTCGATGATAGTGCCTAGGTTGTTGATGAATGCTTCTCCAGGGCCGGTAACTAGCAAGAAACCCGCAGCAAGCCACCACATGGTTCTGTCACCCAAAAACCGTCGTGTTTCGGCGTTGAGGAGCCACGTTTTCCTCCTGGCGTCTTCCGCTTTCTTAGCTTTCAGCTGGTCAGCTTTGCGACTGATCTCCTCAACAATCGAATCGGATAATGTGCCATAGCCTTCTTGCTCTTCCCGCTCTTGCAGTAAGCGATGGAAATATTCGCTCTCGTCAAGAAAGCCGCTCTGCTCCAGCTCTTCCACCGCATCTTCAATCAGTTCCTCTTCGTCAACGATGCGCAGGACGTAGCTGCCAATTACGCCTGTTGTGAGCAAAAGGATCCCCAGAAAGAGAAAGAATTTGTGCACGTTGACATCGCCCTTGGAGCCATCGCTCTTCGTCTCGTACAGCAGCTGACTGCCCACTTGTGCCTGCCACATGCCGCTCAAGCCAAAGCAGGCAATTGGCAGTGCGAGCGCAATGCCTTTGTATTTCCCTCTCCCAAAGTTCTTGGCGCACGTCGTTACTGCGGACAAGTACATCAGACTCGTGCCCATACCAATGAAGACGAAGGCCAGCACCATGACGCCGTACGGCCAGCCCGTCCCACCCAGCGCAGACGGCGGACCACTCTGGTAGTCAAACGCGGCCAGCAGATAGCCCATCCCAAAGAAAGCTCCTGCCAGCACGCTGGGGATTCCCGGGCCCCAGCGATCACAGAGCATGCCCCAGAGCGGCACCGGCAAGTACATGGCAATTTCTGCCGCGATACTGATGCCATTGACCTGCAATTGACTGTAGTGAAGGCGATGCTGGAACAGTGGCGCATACAGACTATAGGCAGTAATGCTGCCGGCGCCCAAGGTGTTGATCAGGGCCCACGCGAACGAGCCATATCGCCAGAGCTCCTTTCGCAGGCGCTCGCGGTCCTTGTCGGCGATACCTTGGGCTATGTCAGAAAAAAAGCTGCCTGCATAGCTGTGTTGATCCTCTTCATCATCTTCCTCGGCGGCGGCGGCGGTGGCGGCGGCGGAGTGTCGACTTCGACTAGGATCGCGACTTCGGGGGAGGAGCGGTTTGCCGCCGGGCGTGTAGTCAAGCTTGTCGATAGCGGCGCTGCTGTTGTCGCGCACCCGACTGACTGGGCGAGAGGATGAGGATGAGGGCGGCATGGTGGATTGGTTGGCGGAGGGGGAGGAGGCAACGATCGTAGTCAGACTAGGTGTCAATGTAACTCAGGTTCCCATCGTCGTGAGTGTAGGCACTAGTCCATGCTACACTCGGGCACAAGGAGTCGCGATAGCATCCAGCATTGCTCCTCTCTCGTTGCGCAAATTAGCCGAATATATCGATGTGTAGTAGGTACCTGTAGCATCGACAGGAACAGGTACATGTATGTCCAGTACCGTCGTCGGGGTGGAGCTTCAAGTTGCTGATGACGGAGTCGATGTCGGCCCGCCCACATCCGACCACCAAGGCAACCTCTTGGAACGTCTCGAACTTTGGCTTCATCTCCTGCACGCCTTTCTGATTTGGGAAACATGGCACACGATGGCCTCCGATGAGCTTCAGAAAAGAGTCTCACAGCTTGTTCGCCAGTCGGGCGGGTTGGCGGATGGCGGCAACCTGCAAGAGGCCTTTGACGCGTTGAAGGAGGCATCCCACCTCGATCCAGAAAATGCTAGCGTGAAGGATGCTCTCGTGGCATTGGAAAAGCGCGAGAAGACTGGAGATGTCGTCGCCTTGATTCGCAGCTATCTGGGCACGGGACCAACGAGCGATGGTGAGGCAGCATTGCGCGCTCTCCGCCAGAAGCATCTGCCCCAAGAAGAAGCGGAGCAAGCTCTCAATGATCTTCTCGATGCTCCCCGTCCAGTAGATCTGCTCGACACCTTGACGGGCACTCTCATCTATCGAAGCAAATATGCCCAGCAGACCCTGATGGCCGCGTTCGAGAAACCCGTCTCAGCGCTGTTCGATCGATTCTATGATCGAGGCCCAGAGAGTCTGAAAGCGTTCAGCACAATCCCGCTGAACGATGAGTTATGGACATCGAAAGATGATCAGGTGAAAGCCCAGCAAGACTTGTTCCAGCTGTGCATTGCCAAGCTCATATACATGGACGTCAAGCACAAGGATCGCCTCCTGCAACTCGTGGCACGGCAGATTGCCATGGCACCTGCTAACGTCACCAATCTCATTGATTTGGACGTCTTCGAAGTCATTCTGGATTGTCTCGATATCAGACTAGAACAACGTTTGCGGAGTCAAGCCATGTTGGCCACTTCAAAGGTGCTTGAGGCGACCAAGGAAAGAGGGGAGCAGCTGTTTGCCCAGTACTTAGCTGCCAGAGTGGGCAAGCAGACTATCGACGACTGCATCGTTGCCTTTTCGTCAGCAGCTGCCATCTTTCCAATGATACCTGTGGTGGCAGCACAGCTTTTCATGACTGACGGCTTTGTGCAACAACTCGTGCCCAATTTGGAGCGAAACTTCGAGTCAGGCAGCCAGGGGAAAAGGTTAGTCAAGGCGGGGAGCGGATTACAGTGATGCGCTTCATTGAGTTCATCACTTATGCTGACATTGAGCAGAAAGAGCGCAACGCTCGAGGTGGCAGCTCTTGAATTGCTGAGCGCAGCATGCGTTGACAAGGCGTGTCGCGAGGCAATCGACAGATATTGCTCACCCTGGCTCCGAAACATGTCAGATGAAGCAGAAGGAAAGCACAAGGCACTATCATCACTCGTGCTCGCCAAGATCAATGCAACGTCTTCGGAAGAGGTCACATCGAAATTGGCAGATCTGGTCCTGGTCAACGAGGTCAACAAGGATCAAGCGATAGAGGGGTTGGCCTATACCACCTTGCAGCCAAAGGTCAAGGAAGACATTGCAGCCAATGCGAATTTGCTGAAGCGGCTGATAGCTGCATTGACCGATCGCCCGAGTGCTGCATTTGGGTGTTTGACCATCTTCAGCAACTTGACCACATACCGACCGCCCCAGACCGCTGAGCAAAAGAAAATGGCACAGCTGAAAGCTTACGCGAATCAACAGAAGCAAGTAGCAGATGATCCGCTCGACAACGACAGTTTTGTAACCAGTCGAGCCAAGAAGCTTCTCGACGCCGACATCGTTCCCGCTCTCGTCGCTAGCTGCAAACAAACCAGCTCTCCTACCAACATCGCAATGGTAGTGAAAACCCTCCTCTCGCTGGCCAGAGAACAAAGAAACCGCCCGAAAATGGTCTCCCAAGGTTCCGTCAAGCTCCTCCTCCAAATCCGAGAACGAATCGGCAAGACAGACAAATCCTCTGCAGAAGCTTCCACCATCGACCGTAATGCCTCGCACGCGTTGGCCAGACTTCTCATCTCCGTCAATCCCGAACATGTCTTCTCTGCGGGCTCACTACCAGCTAGCACGGCTGTGAGTTCTCTCATTCCACTGCTCACGTATGACACCGATGCCGAACAACGGGACCTTTTGCCTACTTTCGAAGCACTCCTCGCGCTTACCAATCTGGCTTCCATGGAAGATGCCACAGCCAGAGACATCCTTCTTCGCCCCTCTGCAGCGTTTGAACGGCTGGAAGATCTACTCTTTTCCAGTAATACTCTCGTCCAACGCGCCAGTGTCGAGCTCGTGTGTAACCTGATGGCTTCTCCAACTGGCGTCGCGAGATACGCCGACGGATCCAAAGACGCCAAACGTCGATTGCACGTGTTGTTGGCACTCACCGACGCCGACGATCTTGCTACGAGACGAGCCGCGGGGGGTGCACTTGCTATGCTTACCGAGTGGGACAGTGCCGTTAGCGCTGTGCTGGATCATGTGAAAGGTGTAGAGTTGGTAATTGGAATGTGTTCCGAGGAGGAGGAGGAGGCGGGAAAGAGCGATGAGATGAAACATCGTGGGTTCGCTACTGTGCTTAACCTTGTGAGTGCACCCGGGCAAATTGGAGAGCGTGGGATCAAGGCTGTGAAGGAGTATGAAGAGGAGTTGAAGAAAGCTTTGCGGACGACAAGGAACCAGGACGTGTTGGCATTGGGGGTAGAGGTGCTCAAACGGTTGAAGTGATGCTTTGCTTGCATAGCACTCGGACTTGGCTGGAAGTGCTGCTACTGTTGCTGGTGGCACACACGCAGGCCAACGGGGTTCGTTCGGAATATCGACAGAGAGGTTGCACTTTTCTATTGTTGTGAGTTGCCCTGCCAGCGGCGTGGGCTTTCGCACAGTCAAGATATCAAAATACCTTTGTACTACATGTCGTAGTCCGTCTTTGATCGACCAGTGTATGGTCATCTTGAGACACTGGCTCGACACGAGTGGTTCCCGGCCTCGACACATGCGTGATATCTTTGATATCTTCGGTGTCTCGCCAGGAGCCTGGATTCCTGCTGTTCGTCTTGTTCTCTGGGAGGTGTGGGCTCTGTGCGCCAGGGACAGTTCCAGATGGTTGTTGTCGCAAGGTGAGTCGTGCATCTGGTATGTACGTTGTTTACTATACTGTTGCTACCGACAACGGTTTCAGATCACATTGACGGAGCTGACATGAAGTGCACAACTGTGCCGATGTGTGGTACTGTACACGCCACCACACTGCCCTCCGCCATGTGTGTTCCTTCCCATCAACGCCCAGCCAAAACCGCTTTTTCCTCGCTATTTCGGGCGATGATGCAGATAGTCATGGACGTCAGGACTGCTGCATGATGCATCCTCTGGTCGGCTGGATGAACACCCGCCATCGCAATCTTTCTCCATTTGTCACAGACGCTGCTCCAACAGGGCACCAACACGGTCCTCCCCTCTCCCACGTTCTTGTTTGATTTGTCGAATTCCGTCTTCTCCGCACCAATTGTGCGGCTAAGTGGCACATCATGGCCGATCACTGCACATCACTCACTATCGGAGAATATGTGTCGTGCCACCAGCTGCGATGTAGCGAAAGGAAGAAGCATGAAATTGCGACCAACACGTCTGACAAAGATCGAGTGGCTTTGACCGAGGAGGTGCAATCAGGAGCTGCGGCGGTGTTGTGTGAAAGAAAGCTCCATGGTCACTGTGAGACGTGCAGCTTGGAGCCTCATCGAGTATCTCCAACGTGACGTGCAACTCCGAATCTCACGACGCCCGCCCGTTCACATGGCGTTGAGCTAATTCTCTAGCGTTGAGCTTGGCTTGATTAAGACACGTACTGGTGCTGCTCCGCTAACCCTTCTGGGCGAGCAGATCGCGCCTTGATGGGAAAAAGCAGCTCGTGCAGACTTTCGTCAATGGCCTTGGTGTGATGACATCCGGGGAAGGCTCCTGGCGAGTACTCCCGCTATACCTGTATCTTCATTCGACTCGGCAGAACTCTCCCGAACAAGTTGCCACTCTACAGCAGAATCTATTGCGAAGCCTCATTTTATTAAGCTGCTAGTGCCACGTTAGATCCGAGGGAATGATTCCTTCCAGAGAAGAGGAGCGTCTACATAAGTGAAGGAGCTGTGCCTCCAACTATTTCTCTTCCTCCCCTTGTATCCTTTACCATACTCTCCCAGACTGTCGTTTTTCCTATCCCTCAAACAACTCAACAGTACATTCTGCAAGGATGAGATACGCATTCACGATCGCTGCTCTTGCAGCTGCTGTCACTGCACTGCCGCAGGTGAGATCCATCGGTCATCACATCAACGAGAGACAAATTTGTGCTGACATGTCTTATAGATGCCAGAGGGATATGGGTAAGAGCCGTCTCAAGGGAACGATAATAGCAATGTCCCACAATGCTAACACTGCTCTCTAGCCATGTGCTAGCGCAGACGGAAAGTCCTGTGTCTCAGTGAGTTGAAAGAGACGTAGGAGGTAGCAGCAGCTATCGATGGGTGCTAATGCATCCTCCTAGAATTGATGACGGGCAGATTCAGGCACCAACTGGCTCTCCTGTCTCCCAGATCTCAGATGGGCAGATTCAGGCTCCTACTGGCTCTCCTGTCTCCCAGATCTCGGACGGACAGATTCAGGCACCTACTGGGTCGCCCGTATCGCAGATCTCAGACGGGCAGATACAAGCACCTACTGGCTCTCCTGTCTCCCAGATCTCGGACGGACAGATTCAGGCACCTACTGGGTCACCTGTATCGCAGATCTCAGACGGGCAGATTCAGGCACCTACTGGGTCGCCTGTGTCGCAGATCTCGGATGGACAAATTCAGGCTCCTACTGGGTCTCCTGTCTCCCAGATTTCGGACGGACAGATCCAAGCACCGACTGGTGCACCAGTATCCCAGATTTCAGACGGACAGATCCAAGCTCCAACCGGAAAGCCTATATCACAGATCTCGGACGGACAGATCCAGGCTCCAACCGGGAAGCCTGTATCGCAGATTTCCGATGGTCAGATTCAAGCACCTACTGGTTCACCGGTATCGCAGATTTCAGACGGGCAGATTCAGGCGCCAACTGGAAAGCCTGTATCGCAAATTCCAGATGGGTATGAGAATCCCCTCGGGAACAATATTCTTCAGTAACGCTAATTCCACTTTGCAGTCAAGTACAAGCCCCTAAGCCATCTTCCTACAAGTCCGCTGCTCCACCGACACCACCAGCAGCACCAGCAGCGCCACATGGCAGCTCTGCCTACGCCATGGAGTGCCCAGTTCCAACGGTTCCTGCAAAGATGGGCCCTGGTGCAAAGAAGCCACAAGTTCCATTCAAGTTCCCACTTGCGAATGGCTTCCCAGATCTGATGGTGCCATCCCCAGAACTTACTGCTGTCGAGAAATTGGCGCAAGGCACCCTTCCAAATGGTGCACTACCCAAGAATATTTCGGATGCATCTGCCACCAACCTGCAGCTGGTTGCTTTCAACGAGATCTTTGAGGTTGCATACTTCAACTCACTGCTCAGTAACCTCACCACTGGCGAGTACGACCTGGGCGCTGCAAAGGACTTTGTGGTCAAGGCCATCGATACCGTTCAGGCGCAAGAGCAGCTCCACGCTCTGGGTGCAAACGCCATTTTGGCTTCTGCCGGACGTACCACCATCAAGCCATGCGAGTACAAATTCCCCGCTGCAGACTTCGACACCGCCATCTCTACCGCTACGCTCTTCACCGAAGTTGTCCTGGGAACGCTTCAGGCTGCACAGACAACCTTTGCCACTACTGGGGACTCTGAACTTGTTGGCTTGTTTGGATCTGTCATCGGCCAGGAGGGCGAGCAGGTAGGCTACTACCGCGCCACTGGTCGCAAGGTGCCCTCATCTCTCCCATTCTTGACTGGTGGTGCTGGCGCTTTTGCTTTCTCTGCCCTCAACCAGCTATTCGTTGTCCCTGGCTCATGCGGAAACCTCGAAGAGATCAAGATCCCCCTCCTTTCGCCGTTGACCGTGGTCACTCCACCACCCGCTACCGGCGGTGATGCTACCATCACCTACTCCTACCCTGTCCTTCCCTCGGTCACTAGCCCCGAAAACCTTCGTCTGGTTCTCATCAACCAGCAGAACGTGCCTCTGGTCTTTCCACTGGGCGATCTGCAACGCAATGGAGACACTGTCACCTTTACTGCCCGTAAGTTAAAGATCCTCACTATCTGACACACATACATGTCTAATCATGGCGGCGATATACTAACACGTGAATAGCATGGCCATACACGAACGCCACCCTCAATGGCTTGACCATCGCCGCCGTCACCAACGGCCCAACCTCCTTCTCCAGCGTGGACGAAGTTGCCTCTGCTGCCGTCTGGGGACCAGGTCTCATTTACGTCAACTAAAACGTCTAATCATTAGAGAGAATTGACAGCAGAAAGGAAAAGAGAAATTGTATTACAGCACAGCATCCAGCATCATGAGGACAGATCCGAAGAAGAAGAGAAAGGAAAACGTATGATAATACGATGACGATGGTGATGGTGATGAGAACGCTACGGCCTGCAATCACGCCATGACCTTAATTGATGTGGTTGGTGAGTTGGTTGGGGACTCTGACTTTATAGTGTAGGATGATGATGATCATGATATGACTGGACAGAGGGAAAATAGCAGTATTGAATTATCGACAATTTTAATGTATTTATGATTTGAAGTGGAATGCAATATGATACATTTCCACTAACGTCTTTATCACCATTGGGTTGACGTTGACTGTTGATGTTGATACCTCCTAAGAGCAAAAAGGCTGGAAAAAGAAAGAAATAAAACAATGTGACAATGTAACACATCTTCATCACCTTTCTGTCAAGTATTCAATTCATCATAACAAAACATTAAAAATTTCCCATTACAATCATAATAACAATAAAACCATTACCTCATCTTCAGCTCCCCAATCCACCATATCGATAAGCATACATGGTAAAACTCTCATATTCTTCTTCCTCTTCCCCGTCCTTCCCATCACCTCCTCCATACCCCACAAACCACTGTCCACCCTCCCTCTTCGAATTCCTACTCCCCGCACCCCCAACATATCTACACGTCAACGGACACGCCTCGTGCAAATTTATTTCCGCCTCCTCCTCCTCTTCCTCATGAGAATGATTCCAGCCCTTTTTTCTTCCAAAACTACAACTCAACGGAACTCTTTTCCCCTCCACACCCTCCACACCAAATTCTCCATTCTTCTCCTTGTCGTCGTCATGGTTCGAACGAGAAGAGGAAGAGGAAGAGTCAGGCAAAGAAAAATACACCCCAGCAACCCCTTCGCCCGGAACGATTTTTACATTTCCAATTAATTCATATCGTGGAAATTGATTCTCGTTGCCGAAATTTTGCGTTACGAGGGTTTGGCCGTTGAGTGCAAACCATGTTGGTGGTGTTGTTGTCGAAAGACATTCCTCCTCATCGTCTGCTCTCCACATCGCTTTCCCATCGTTTTTGCTTCGACTTTCTCTCATCGCTGTACTGTTGACATGGACCCATTCCACCCCGTTTCCCTTTCTCGAAGAAGAAGAAGAAGAAGAAGAAGAAAGAAAATCATAATCCTTCCCACTGGCAAGTCTAAACGGGCCATCCAAAATCAGCGTTTCCGTCGCAGCCGCATACATCGTTTTTGTAGAAGAAGAAAATCCGTCATGAGTAGGAGTCAGAGTCACAGTCCCCGTTGTAAGAGTTCGAGTTAGAGTTCGAGTGATTTTGGCTGCTGTGAGGAGAGTGATTGTTTGTGTGGGTAAAGGTAGTAGAACTGCCGTTTCTCCTTGGCCCGTGGGATGGCCCGTGGGATGTTGATGGAAAGTTGTAGTTGTCGAGGAGAGGGAAAGAGAGAGACATGAGCAAGCTTGGGAGATTTGAGGTGGGGAGATGTATTTCGATAGACAAGCTGGTCGGGAGGAACGGAGGGAGTTTTTGTTGTTGTTGTTGTTGTTGAGTTTTGAAGAACAGTCGTTTTGGCGCGCAATGGGACAGGTCGAGAGAGGGTTTGTATAAGTTTCTGTCGAAGTAGTGGTAGTAATTGTCGTAGTAGCGCGTCCAAAGACGGTGCTCGAGTGGGTGATAGTTTTTGCGACTTTGGTTGTCACGGGGTAGTCGAGATATGTTTTGGTAGATGTAATTTTCGTAAACGTTTTTGTGACGCGCGAAATGGTTTTTTGGACGGTGATTACGGGGAGGGAGAGGTAGGCGGAGCAATAGGCTGTGGCGGCTTGGGAGTCTTGGGCTATGAGCGCTTTTGCTTCGTTGCAGAATGATGGCTGCTGTTGTTGTTCCCCTAGGACTTTTTGCTCGGCTCGATTGAGTGCAGGCGATGCTAATGCGCCCACGAATAACGTGGCAATGAAAGAGGAACGCATGTTGAAAAAAGAATGGAAAAACCGGGATAATTAGCGAGAGAGAGACAGAAAGTGAAGTGAAAAGAGCGAGTGTGAAAGAGTGCAACAACAATCAGAGAGACGTCAAAGGCAGCGCAGACATGCTTCCTCTCCTCACCTGGTTGGTTCTCTATTGCTGATAGCCGTAAGAAGGAGGTTACGGAGGTATCAGATTCAGAAAAGGGTGATTGATCGAGGCCCAGTCTGGCCCATCGCTAAGCCGCAAGCGCCTCTCTCTCTATCTCTCATTTCGGCATTGTTAGTGTCAAAACTAGTTCTGATGGAAATAGTTCTTCCTAGCGTTGCCGCGCATCGTAGACAGCCTGCCGAGAACTGGAGATTATTGGTCCAGAGCAGTCCGCTGGCAGAGTGGGACTGGACCCTGTATCAAACGAGCCGAGCCAGGTGGACTGTATACTTAAGAAAGTCGTCGTGAGTTGGCCAGGAGAGTCAGTTATGTTTGACAGACTATAATAAGGATCATCATAGACGCCCTGCTTGAAACAGACAGACGCGAGAGAGTTCCCCAGGTGTTGCAGTGCAGTATAGAGCCTGATCCGAGGCTGATGCGCTGACTGAGATTTATGTCTTTGACACTACAGATCAGTCAGAGGGATTTAAGATGGTGAAGAATAGAAGCAGATTGATGATTGGTTTGGAGGTGAGTGAGTGAGGAATAGCAAGTGAATAGGAGGTAGAAACAGGAGAAATCAGAGGGTGTTTCAAGGGTACGAATACGGAAGACTGTACCAGCTCGGTGATACGGAAGACTTTTACTAGCTTTAGAGACAGAACACGAGTCTTGCTTGATGACTCAGCGTCTCGATTCCATATCTTCAGTTTTATTCCAATAAGCAGTGTTATGAGTATCTCCATATATCAGCAGGGATACCTATCCTCTCTATCCACCTCGCAGTCATGCATGGATGTTATATTTGTAAGCGTTCTCAGGCAAGCAGAAATGTTCATCTTCCGTAGTCGTCTATATCATCATCATCATCATCATCATCATCATCATCATCCATCTAGCCTATTAAATCCCTCTGACTCGCTGCCTCTCTCTCTCTGTGCAAAAGTCTACCCAACCAACCCAACCTCCCCCAATAAATTATCCCCCAAATAAAAGAACAAAAAAGAAAATCAGAACAGAAAAGAAAAATACCATGTCCTCCCCCCCACCCAAACCCTTCCACATCGCCATCATAGGCGGCGGTCTGGGTGGAATCTCCCTGGGAATCGCCCTCTCACGCCGCATCAACAAGAACAAAAGCACAAACAAAAATCTCCCCTTCACATTCACCCTCTACGAATCCCGATCCTCCTTTACCGAAATTGGCGCAGGAATCAATCTCGGTCCTCAAGCAGTTCGTACTTTTCGCTATATTGACCCTCTTCTCGGCGAGAAAGTTTATGCATTGACGACGAGGAATCCGTCGCCGAATGAGGAGGTCTGGGTGGATTTGAGGTGGGGTGGTAGTGATGAAATTAGTAATACTACTACTACTACTACTGCGGGGGATGGGGAAGGAGGAAAAGGGAATGAAAGAGTAGATGGAGAAGTATTTCATCGAATTCTCGCACCTCCAACGGGGAATATGACGGTTCATCGAAGAGAAATTTTGGGACTTTTGGCGGAGGAAATGGGTGGGGAGAATGTGAAATTTGGGAAGAAATTGGAAAAGTGGGAGCAACAAGGTACTGCGGAAGATGATGTGGTGTTGAAATTCGCGGATGGGACAGAGGAACGAGCGAGTGTGGTGGTGGGTTGTGATGGGATTCATTCGAATGTGCGAGCTTGTATGTTTAGTGGTGATGATGGGAAGAAGTTGAGTAAAGCAGTGTTTAGCCAAAGTGGATGTTATCGAGCTGTGGTTCCGATGGAGAAGGCGATTGAGAAGGTCGGAGAGGAGGCGAGATTGAGTACGATTATGTTGACGCCGGGGGGATATATGATTACTTATCCGGTATGTATTGCCCATCTCTTTTCTTCCATTTTTCATTCACTTGTTTTTTCTTCCCTTTCAAATGATATTCCCCATCATCCTTCTTCTTCCCTACTAACCCCAACCCCCCTTTCTTTCTTTTTCTTTCTTTCTTTCTTTTTTTTTTTTCTTTTTTTTTCGTTTTTCTCTTGTTTTTCTTTTTCCTCTCTTCTCCTCCTTTTTCTAAATCTCACCCAGATCTCCCACGGCACCCAACTCAACTGCGCCGCCCTCCTCCCTCGCCGCGAAACCCCCACCTGGCCACACACCGAATGGATCATCCCCCATCAAGGCGCAGCCTTCCATCAAGACTGTTCCAACTGGGGTCCTCGCGCCCAAAAACTTCTCTCACTTTTCGATCCGGATCCAGATTTTTGGGCGACTTTTCAGCATCATCTTCCTTATCCTCCTCCTCCTCCTCCTTCTTCTCACCCTGAAGATCCCGATGGACATGTACAATCATCATCATCATCATCATCGCAAATTGTAGACGGCCGAGTAATTCTAATCGGAGACGCAGCCCATTCCATGCCCCCACATCAAGGCGCAGGCGCAAGTCAAGCATTAGAAGACGCATTTGTGCTCGCAGAAGTACTAGAAGAAGTCATTCAAATTGCGAGTACAAGTGATAAAAACCCACATCACATTCCATTCAATCACGTTGAAGCTGCATTGCGAGCTGTAGAAGAAATCCGTACGCCGAGGTTTACGACTGTGCATCGCTACTCGACCGAGGCTGCAGAGAGGTTTTTTTATATGTGGGAGAAGAAGTTGGAGGGAGAGGCGTTGCGGGAGTGGATTGATGAGACGGAGAGACGGCTGAGGTGGATTTGGGAGGGGGATATGGCTGTTGATGCTGCTAGGGCGAAAGAGTTGTTGAGAGAGGAATTGGGGAAGATGGAACAGCAGCGTGGTGAGTAGGGAGGTACCTACTCTTTCAGTCATGATGTATATCTGAGAATTTTGTGTTCGACTGGTTCTGACCTACTCCCTCGTACATGTGATCTCTCTTGTTATGCTACATGCTCCTCCTGCTGCTGTGTAATACTGGGTAGTGACAACTAGCTTGACAGAAGCTTAGGCATCTTCCAGCGTCGATGGGGTTCTTGAACTCACGGCCTCAGACTCGCACAGAACTTGTTTCGGCTATCCACAAGCTGAAAATGAAACTTTGGATGCCAGTCATTGTAAAGTTCCTTCAGTGCCTGAGGCTTTCTTCCGAGTTTCACGAGTGCTCGACTGGGCATGCTAGACGATTTCATTGTCAAACTTGACCGGACATGGGTGGTCCAACTCCGTTCCTGAGACGGCATCTCAAGCGCGAAGAAGCTCGCTCGAAGAGAAACGTTGGACCTGAGAAGTGAAAGTCATGGAGCACACTTCCGGTGACGAGCTCTCCGAGAAAGGTGGAGAATCTTGCGCTGTGAGTGGTGCTGATCCTCTCCAACTCAGTAAGAAGCCTCCCTCGATGACATTTCAGCCAACCTCTTTGGTCCATGCTTCTGTAGGAGCTCCCTGTTGATAGCCCAGGCGTGTCTATCTCTCCCGATGAGCAGCCCAAAAAATGGAGCATATGATTCGATGGCTCGTCTCAAGTCGTCGTTCAACCAGGGCCCGTACAAGTCGATGAACCATAATTCGCCTTGCAGAAGACCACGGACCAAATCCTACTTGGGAGTGCTTCCAGACGCCCAAGCACCCCCGTCTTTAACGAATCTTGTAATTGCTTCTTTGCACGCACGCTCGCTGTAGCTCTCCTCCCACACGGCATACAAGCTGATCATCTCCTGCGTGGCATCAATGACAGCGGGCATGTCAACGTTGCTCTCTGCCAACCAGTCCACAATCTTGCTGAGCTTGGGACCGGCTTGACGAAGGCCACTGAAACTACCCAGAAACGCCTGTTGAGCAGCGTTCGCACTCATAGTGGGCGAGAATCCTGGCCCTGAACTGGATGTCGGAGAGCCGAGAGGAGGCGAAGCTTGACCCAATGAAGCATGTGTCGAATGAGCCTGCAGTCCAGGTGGCTGTCCCGAAGGCCGCAGAACAACGGCCAACACGAGAGCAACTATGGCAAGCACGTGTGGAGGATGCAAGAAGACCAAATCTGTGAGGTAGGTGTCGTTGACAATGGAATGGGCCAGATTAGACTCTTCGGTGCTCAAGCCAAAAGTCTGGACGAAGTCATTCAGTGGGCGATAGGGGTGATGGCAGATCATGCGTGACGAGAGCGTTGATATCAAGGCGAACTCGCACTCGCCGATTTTGCTACTTTCCGATACACCCAATTCTGGCCACTGTCGGGCTGCCTCGCCCAGCATGAGCCGGATATGCTGCGGACATTCTTCCATCTTACACGCGAGGTAGACTGCGGTCGCCATGATCAGATAGGGATTCGTCTTTCGAATCTCGACGCGCAGGTAGAAACGCTTCATGTAGACTTGCGCAGTCGCGAGAGCCTGTTGTCGTAAGCTCATCCTTCGCGCCAGCTTGGCAAGTTGCTGCTGGAAATAAATGTTCATCAAGCGACGCTCAGGCATGGTATACTTGTTGTGTAGAGCTTGATTTTGCCGTTCGAGCTCCTTTCGAATGTCTGCCAATTCATCCTTGGTGAAGGTGAAGAATTTGGCCTGCGTGGAGTCCCAGTAATTGGCCGCCATGGCGCAGTCGGGGGGTCAGTCCACGATGAAAATTGAGATATGAAATGTATGAGATGCACTGACGGACGATATGAAACGTCGATGGATCTGCTTGATGTGGTCATTGTCGTGGATGATGCCGGTAGGATGAGGTATCGTCGAGTCAGCACGAAAGTCTTGGCGCTGCTGATGGCTTCAAACTGCACTTCTTCCCACTGAGACACTCCTCACCTGCCACTCTTCACCACACCCCTTTCCACCCACCACTTCCACTATACCAGAGCCGCACGTGATAATCTACCAAGACCTCAAAACACCTTTCTCGACTGCCGGGATTGTTGACAGCGATCCGGCACAACATCCAGAGCGTGTGACGGCCAGCCAGCCCAGCCAGTGGCCACGACAGTAGGCTTCGTAGGTGCACAGCCACAACCTTTCAGCTATACCGGGTCTGCGTCACGCACGCCTTGATCCACCACCTCCATCTCAGATTCGAGGTTAAATTCATCCCAGCTGCACGTCCACCTCTGCATCCCATTCCCATTGCCAAAATGGCCAATCAGACGACCTATGTCCTGCTATGCCTTGCTGCCATTCTGTTCTTGGCGACACCAGCAGCAGCCTTCGGTGCCGGCAACATCTCCTCCCTATCAAAAATCGAAGGCCACAATTGGCGACATGGTGATATCGAGGACCTGCTGAAGACGGTTGCCTTCATCAAGGGCCACAAATGGACTTCCATGATGATCAAGAGAACCTACTTTGGAAACTGGCTCCGAGACTATTCTCAGGCTGTGGATGTGGGAACACTGAAAGGCGTCCCAGCCGACACCATCCGCGTCCTGGTCTGGGTCCTGGCGTTTATGAGTTTTGGTTATGCTACGGAAGAATTTGAAGTCACTACGGAGAGACTGGGCGTGTACAGACCCGAGGAACATATCGACAATCCCAAGGATTATGCTGATAACGTCGATGCGAGGTCGTTTGATCCTCGCCTGCGTGGGCCTGTGCAGCCCATTGAGCTTGCTATTGACCCCCAGACTGGTATGAAGAACTATATTGCCAACGAGAACCTGGGCATCGCCACTTCGCTGGGCTATATCAAGTGGGCCTTTGCTCGCAGTATTCACTTTGGCCGGGTCTACACATGTGGAGCCAACAAAGGCAACGAGAAAGATCTATGCGAGGCGCTCCGATGTCTGGGGACCGGCCTGCACTGCATGGAAGACTTTGGAGCTCACACTAATTACACCGAACTGGCGCTGATTGAGATGGGATTCCACAATGTATTCCCTCATGTGGGCTCGCAGACGAGCATCAATCTTCGGGGCAAGCATGTGTATCCACTGGTGACGGGAACATTTGGAGGTGTTGATTTCTTGCATTCCGTGCTTGGCGAGGCCACCGATACCGTTACACAAGCGGAAGTCGATGACAATGAAGTGGCTCAGCTAAACGCTGCGCTTTCGGGCGCCGAGTCGAAACGCAGTGCTGGTGGGGGTGACCCTGCGAAGGAAGCATCATTTTTGACAGATGTGCTTGCGAAAGTTCCGGGCACCGGCGCTTTGATTCAGGAAGCGGTCAGTTTGCAAGCGGCATCAGATGCACAGGCAGCAGAAAATGCTCGTCTGGGTGGCGGGGGACAGCGTGGCGTCAATGATTACGATACATATGGTGCTGCACGAGCTGCAGGCGATGCGCCAACCACCCAAGGCGGTGGCTTCGCAGTGCCGCCCAAGGTGGATGCAGCAGCTGCGATGGCCAAGATCTATCCCATTCTCAGCTTTCGTGACAAGGTCGTGCGCCAAATATCTGCGATTGTGTCCAAGATACCTGGCCTGGAGAAGATTATCGACACCATCACCGAGAAGGTGACTCTATTCGTGATGGGTCTACTTGCACCTTTCGTCAAGCCCATCATCGCTTCAGCCTCGAACGCGCTCAAGCAAGGGTCCGGGACAGTTGTCAAAAGCTCCGCCAACCAGCAGTATCTTGTCTGGAAAGATCCCAACAGTTCTGACCCTACGCACTCTATGCTTTCCAAAGACCATTTCAGCAACATCTTGAACCAGCCTGCCGGAGAGCTTGCTGCGGAAATTTTGCAGTACGTCGCTCCCCGAGTCATATATGGCTGGGAACATCCCGAAGTCCCCGAGCATGAGATTCTCAATGATGTCGCACGTGTTTTCCACCACCCTGCAGCGCGAAACGAGCAAATCGAGATCCAACGAAAGATGTTTGAAACGGTCCACAAGTGGGTGCAGAAGCGGTCCGATCGTGGTTCAGGCTTGAACAACATCCTTTCTTCCGAGTCCGTGAAAGCCGGACACAATCATAAAGCCCCGGATCTTCAGTCCTCTTTCCAGGGCATTCAGCAGATTGCATCCACACACGGTCTCAACATTCCAGGTATAGGCCCTGGTGCCGGCAGTCATTCGAACACAAGAGGTGGCGTGTTCGACATGCTCGCTGAGCAGAGAGCGAGAGATGGAATCCAGGCTGATCCGAACGCATATTCTCACCAAGCCCCGCCTCCGGCCAGTTATGATCAGAGCAGTTCTAGCTATCCGACGGCGTATCAGTCCGGCTATGAGCAGCCGTGGCAGCCACAGCAACAGCAACAGCACCAGCAACAATATGGTGGCTATGGCGGAGATTATCAAACGCAACCACAGCAAGGTGGTGGGTATGGAGGAGGATACGACCCGAATCAGCAGCAAGGTTATGGCAATTACCAGCAACAGGGCCACGGTGGTGGGTATGGTCAATATTAGCATGTGGGAGGAGGAGGAGGAGGTGAGGATGATAGCCACGAGGTGCACTAGGTGGTGAGCACAATACGAGTGAAGGGGGGGGGTGATACAAGACGTAGGAGATAGAAAGGGGCACGACGACAGAGACCGATTTAGACGAATTGACCATGTTCATGACTCCCGATCACTTCACTGCTGCCACCCCACCCTTACAGATTCCCCGCCGTCGGCTCCATCCGCCCCCACGCTGCTGCCAAGCTTTCATCATCGTCTGATCTCGCAGATTCATCCTCCATCCTGAACAGTAAACAAACACAACATCTTCCTTTCCTCTCGCTCACCCTCCCACTTTGATCTTCATCATGGCACCGCAGAAACAGTAAGTCTCTGCCTCCTCGCTTAACATCATGGCGTGGCATCCTCGCTCACAACAGCTGATCCACAGATCATCAGACTGCCTACCATCAAGGCATGCCTCTTCGACATGGACGGTCTTTTGATCGATTCCGAAGACAAATATACCATATGCACCAACGAAGTTCTCAATGAATACGGCAGACCTAACCTCCCATGGCACATTAAAGCCCAACTCCAAGGCCGACCAGGACCTACAGTACGCACACCCCCTCTTCTCTTCTTCTCATCATCATCATCATCACCACCACACACACTCCCAAACTAACACCTTTCCTTCCAATTTGCTCTCCAGGCCGGCAAAATCCTCTTCGACTGGGCCCAACTCCCCATAACCCCCGAAGAATACCTCGTCAAAATCTCCTCTCGCCAACAACAACATTTCCGCACCTGCGCCCCTCTCCCCGGCGTAATCAACCTCCTCCAAACCCTCAAACACCGCAGCAGCAGCAGCCCATCATCGACATCAACATCACCACCGCGTCGTATAGAACTCGCACTAGCAACATCCAGCCACTCAGCAAATTTCCACCTCAAAACCGCCCATCTCGAATCCAGTGTATTCAGCGTCTTTGATCCTCTCCATCGTGTCCTAGGAGATGATTCACGAATCGGAAAAGGTCGAGGGAAACCTTTGCCGGATATTTGGTTGGTGGCTCTGAAAACGATTAATGATCGGTTAGAGCAAGAGGGAGAATACGAGAAGATCAAACCAGAAGAGTGTTTGGTATTTGAGGATTCGGTGCCTGGGACGGAAAGTGCGCGGAGAGCGGGGATGCAGGTGGTGTGGTGTCCGCATCCGGGACTGTTGAAGGAATTTGAGGGGAGGGAGGAGAGGGTTTTGGCAGGGTTGATGGGGCAGTATCAGGAAGAAGAAGAGCAGGAGCAGGAGTTGGGTGGGAAGAAGGATGAGAGCGGGATTGTGAGACAGAGTGGGAAACCGGGGGAGATTGGAGATGGGTGGGGGAGGCTGTTGTTGAGTTTGGAGGATTTTCCTTATGCGGAATATGGAATTGAAGTCAAGGAGGAGAGCCAGTTGTGAGTTTACTACCTACGATATCGGACAGTAAAGCTGGATAAGATGAAAGGAGGAGAAACGTGTAGACGGAGAAGCAAACGTCATATCATATGCTTTCCATACTGGCTGACGGCCAGTCAGTCTACTATGCCTAGCAGAGAACCCCCCCAAAAAAGGAAAACGCTGTTTGCTTCTAGACCCACCACCCATCGTGGTGTATCAAATGCATAGTAGTAGTAGCCATTGACTCAAAGAAACATTTTCGCTCCATCCCAGCCCGTTCATAATAGACATACCCACCATGCCGCGCCGCGCCATACGAGAAAGACCTGATGATGCCCACCCAATTCCATTCCTTTTTACTCCCTCATCTGCGCCCTCAATCCAACATTTTCCCTCTTCAGCCGACTCGTCTCTCTCCGCAACTTGATAGCTTCCTCATTCACCTCTCTCAACTTCCTCTTCAACTCCTCCACCCCATCACCACCTCTCACCGCCTTCAACACCCGCGCCAGCTCGTCATTGAATCTCGTGTACAAGGCCTCATTCTCCCCATTAGCCTCCCGGTACAGCTCATCCAGCTTCTTACATTTCGTTTCCGAAACACTCAGTGAGCTGGTCAGATCATTCTGAATCGTGCTGATGCGATTATTGAGATCTTCGAATTGCTTCGGCATGCCACCTTCCAGTTTAATCACACGCTGTGCGAGGTCCATGTTGGACGCAGTGTGCGAGAAGGAGCCACGTCCGGCCGCAGGGCCAATGGTACGACTACCCCGGAGAGGTGTGGTGCGACTGGAGGGAGTAGATGTGAGTTCGTCACCAATCTTACTGAGCTCATCTTGAAGCGAAATTTGGGCAGCTGCGATGACCGACTGTTCGTTTTGTAGACGCTCCCGAAGTTTCTGCGGTGATTGCATCCGTAGCTTTCGAGTGTGACTCGAGGGTGGCGCGTCGATGGTCGTACTTCGCGCTCGGGTGACCTTGTCAGTCTGATCCGATGGTTTCTTCACGATATTGCCTGCGCCAGGACGCTCCGACAGTCCAGCTCGGCCTGGTGTCGTGGGACGAAACTTGGTCGGTGATGCGGCACGGGGCATCAGACTTGGAATGTTGGATGTTGGCCGTGCGGTAATGACGACCTGATCAGGGTGATCACCACTTGTCTTCGGCCGAGGAATATCGGTACCATCAGTCTTCGATCGCCCCAGTTCAGGTCGGGGTAGTTGAGGTGGCTCGCCTGAGAGCGCTTTGCTTGGACCAGGTGACAATTCTCTGCGGAACGAAGACGGCAAACGCGACCGCGGCGACTTCTGCAGCGGAGTGCAAAACCGACCCGTATTTTCTCGAGAGGACGAGCCTGAGGGTGTCGAAAGTACTGGAGAGTCTGGCAATTGCTTCTCTTCCAAGATCTTCTGTGTCACTGGCTGCCTCCGTGGTGTGGTTGGACGCCCAGGGTCTCGATTTGGTGAAATCTCCCTGAGATCGGAGAGCGAACTACGCCGTTTCTTTCGAGGAGGTCCCGTTGGAAGGAAGCTTGGATGCTCACCAATTGTAGACAGACCCAGGTTGTTGCTACTAGGTGTTCGCTGCAGGTTGGGCAAGCCGCCAAATGATGCTGTTGAAACCTTTGCGCTGTCTTGCGAGGGAGCTCTATATCCCAGACTCGCTGCGTCGGTATCGATGGAGCGCGAGCGACCAAGAGAAGCCTTGGAGATGCTATTTCCAGGACTCTGGTCAGCTCTCGTGCTCTTGCTGAGGGTCCGCCATACCGATGAAACCTTGGACTCCTGTTCGGACTTGCTGTTCTCCCTGGTTAACGTGCTGAAGCCAAACTTGCGACGCAGCGAAGACGTGTTGCTCGTCAGCGAAGCAGAATTCGTGGATCGGACTCTCTTGTGGGAGTTGAAAGAACCGCTGTCTTTGTAGCTCTGCACAAAACTATTGTCGACAGGCTCGCCAAAGTAGGTATCGGTATCGTCAACGAAGCGGTCCATGAGAGCAATGTAATCGTGCGGGTTGCCTTCGGTCACGAGGAGTTCGGCAAAACATGCCGTGAGCGTGCCACGATCGCCATCATTGCCAGTGCCATCAAGCAAATCCGCCAGAAGCTTCAGGATTGCCTTGAATGCTCGTTGGTTCTGAGGAGCAAGTGTGCCCATACAGGACTTGAAGTACTCGTCGAAATCGCTTGGGAACGCCGTCTCCGCTTTGGTCTGGATATCTTGCAGCACAGCAAAGGGCATGACCTGTCCGATGCGCTCTTTCCAAGCATGGTTGAGAAACTTTTCGAACGCGGCGAATAACACATCCAGAGGTGCCTGAGCAGCAAGAACCATCATGTTGGGGTCATCCAGAAGCCCGGTATACAGCTCATCCACGGACATCTCGTCTGCAACGAGTCGCAGTTTGAGGTTCTTGCCCACAATGTTCCCTTTGCGAGCTTGGATCGCGAGTACGTAAGTGGACAGAGTATCCTCCAGCTTCTTTAGCTGATTTGCGGCCAGATCGCTGGGCGGCGAGAAAGGCATTTGACCCTCCTTGGAAGAAGGTCTGCCCTCTCGGCTGGAGGGCTTGTGTGATGAGGCATTGCTGGGGAGGCGTGGTATGCTGGTCATCGTAGGGGGTAGTGGCTTTTGGAGCAAGGTCGGCGGATCAGAACCAGGACCAACGCTCGAAAGAAAACTGGAAAGGAGCTTTTTCGGCGATTTGGGACGATGTATGCGCTCACGAGGGGCGAACTGCACTTGCCTCAGCTCACCATTATGAGCCGCAGTCTTGAGTTCGATGGATTGGAGGATATCCGCATTACGCAGCAGCGTGCACGCCGCCATCCCAGGCTGCTCCGCACTCAGGCGAGCACTGAGGATAGTGGCAACCTTTCTTCGCAGAGCGGGTACCAGATCTGGTGTGTCCACGTGCTCGCGTCCAAAGCTGCCATCTACTGACTCCACAGTCAGCCGCCAGTCTCCGTCGCGATGCGAGGCGAGATGAATCGCTGCACGCAAGCCGCCTTGCCCTAATAGGGCCTGTGTACTATGCCGTTCGGCATCCACAATGATTCGTATTGGTGCATTCGTGCTTCGTGCGGCAACATGCTCGGCATTGGAATCTTCGAAAATCGAGCTGAGCAAGCCAAGGCTGTCTGATCCTGGATCGGTTGCGCGAATCTCCCAGGTGGCAGATTCGCGCTCTGATTCGGAGAACCGACTCTCGACTCTGGCTTTTGCAACTTCCTCGATCAGCCTACCTGCTCTGCCATCGTACGAGTGCTCCAAGCGCAAGATTTGGGAAGAGTCCAGTATGGGCTCCTGGGCAGTCAATGCGCCGCCAATGTCAAGTTGGAAGAACGTCATTAGTTGCAGAGCGTGACCATCGTGAGATTCTGTGAGTTGTAAAGCATCAAGCTGAAGTCGACGGACGAAGTGCAAATCCCCCATCGTATCTGTGAGACTTTCCATCGATCGATTGGGCATCGATCCACTCTCAATCTCGGTCATCAACGTCCGAGCAGTGGCTTTGGACCCAGGTGCCTTCTCCACGATAATAATACCATCGGTGAAGAGGAAGATAATTCCGCTGGGACCATCGCATTTATCGTATCCGTATGGCGGCATAAGCTCCACAAAGTCAGCCGCGGTGACCAGACGCCCGGTAATATTGATGTCGATGGGCCAGCCGAGAGTACGTGAGCGTAGTCTTTCGACTATTGCCGTAGCCTCACTGCCTTCGTTCTCGGCGCAAATATCTGAAATCATGTCGCGAGCTTTCAGTAATGTCTTTAATGCCGGGTGCTTGATGGGCATGTTCTTCACGATGCTGTCGATATAAAGTTGGTATCGTGGTAACCGCTGTATGGGTTCGATGAGCAAGGAGTTGAGCTTCTGCTCTCCGATGTCTTGCAATTCCAGCGCCAGTCCATCTCCATTCCGCAGGATCGCCCGCAGTGTCGTGGTCACTTGCCTGTGAGCACCCAGGTATTCTCTATATGCCTCTGAGAATTTCGGGAACCACTCGCACAGACATTGGGCGACGTCGCCCAGACCTTGGGCATCGGGTAAAGGCTCATCCGTATTTGTCGCGTCATCGACGGAGTTGTCAATGTCTTCTGCAGATGCGGAATCCGTCTCGTTGATGACGTTGCGCAGATGGTCCAAAAAGGCCGAATTGAGCTCCAGTATGCGGTGGAGAGAGTCGGGAAACACTTCAGTCAGAGTCTGCTGGTGTCGAGCTTTGAGGTCTGCTCCAATGTTACTGGCCAAACCTTGTAGGTCACCCAGACGATTCACATAATTCTCCTCTGTCGCGAGTAGCTCGGCGATCTGGGTACGAGAGTGCTCCTTCTGCGACTTCAAGAACGAGTTGGTCCTGCCGATCGCAATGGCCTTTGACGGCGCTCGCTTGATTCTCGATGTAGGCAGGAACGTGGGCTCCCCAAAAGTGGCGATGAGGTCGGCATATCGTCCATACTGCCGCTTGAGCAGTTCATGATCGCGGAGCTCCTCTGTGCCGTCTGCTGTGTCGGGTGGCTCCTTGATCGTCCCCGGGGGCAGGACAACGTCCACGTCCAACCACGACAGACGCTGCTCACAGAAGGCAACGTGCAACTGATGCCAATAATATATAAAAATACCTTACCTAATAGAATCAATACAGCGTGCCCTAGCTATACGCCTATACCGCAGCCCTGGTGGAGTCGCGCGTGGATGGCGAAACCAGGGTCGACAAGGTACCGGGATATGTTTAGTTTAATTCCCATGGAAAAGTGAAGCCGAGATTCCTTTTTATGGCGCGTTCAGTGGTTGCGCCTGCAGGACTCTTGACGCCGTGCCCTGTTGCACAACTTGGTTGTTGTCTCTCAGCCGCTTAAGCTTGTTGTTTATGTTGTTGTTGTTGTTTTGTTGTCGTCTCGTCCCTGAGACATCTCTGCACTGCAGCTGCACCGCATTTGCATCCTTGCTCAGGGCCGATCTGGCAGCCTAATTCTGCTCTAACTGTCCGCGCCAGATCTGCCTACAAGGGCTTTGTTGTTACCTCCAGCTACAGTACATACACTACCTTACAGTTGTACTAAGGTACATCATAGCCGCCTGACGCGTCGCGAAATCAACAGAGACTACTACCTCACTGGACACACCCAGCGACAACGGCCTCATTTTGCACGCGCACACTTACGCATTCACGACCATCACGACGCGACGATATGATATGACGCAGCACTATAGCAATATCGACAGAAAGCACGCCTAGAACGAACGAACGAGCGAAGAACCGACCGACCGACCGACCGAACGAGCGAGCTCCCTCTCATGGCCACAGTAATCGCCGCGCCACCTGCTCTGTCAGGGGAGCTCGCCCTCTTTCACACCACCGATCCATTGCTCGGCAACTCGCCGGTACTCGTCTTCCACGGGCCCGCGGCCACCATTGGAGCCACGAGCTCGCGCATCCAGGTTCACGTCTTCACGCCCGCCGGATGGGGTTCCTATGCGCGTCTGTCCGTTTCGCCGAACTCGCCGTTCTACTCGGCTGTCAGCAACCTTCCGCGGGAAGAGCAGGGGGACGAAGTCTGTCGTGGCCTGGCTTTCGGCCTCAAGAAGTACTTTACAGAACTGGGCGAGAATGTGCGCAAGACGTGGACGGCACAGGTCAAGGCACCGTCACCAGGCGCCTTGTTCGGGGATGACCACATTGCTATCTTGGCCACGCGAATGACCAAGATCGATAATGTTTATGACGTGATTGGAGAGATATCAGAGATATTCATCTTGATATTCATCTTCATCACCATCACCACCACCACCACCACCACCACCACCACCAACACTCTCTCCTGGCACCCGGAATGGCGACGCAGAATCCCCATACGGGCGTGCCCATTACCATCTGGCCCGACGCGGACTTGCATCGGGTGCGCCTTCTCGAGCTGCCCGCTGAGCTGCTGGCCCTGCTTACGGCGGAAAATCCACCCAGGTCCGCGTCCGCCTCCACAGATTGCTAGCCTACCGCCGTGGCCGGTTCACATTGCTAATCCCCCTTCCATCAAGCCACAGCCTACAAATCAAGTCCAGGGAGGTTGTCAATGGCAACAATGCAAAGGAAGCCCATTCGGTGCTCTGTACCCCCAACCAGACTTATCAGATACGTCAAGTTAGCACCTCCAACAGCGTCTATCTCATCCGACCCCACGATATACCCGATCCGAGTGGAGGGGTTCCCACGACCGGAGTTGAAGCCGTCTCCAAGTGTGACACTACCATTGAACTACTGCCAACTGCGCCCTCCTCCGCTGCCCCATACATCAAGGCTGCTCTTCCAATTTACGCGTCAACCGGGAATTACGGCACTGGAGCGTCCATCACAAAGCGCGAGCTGTTTTCACATATTCCCCTCAGCCAAGTCGAGTGCGAGGAAGGATGGCGCGAACTGGCCTGTTTTGAGTCGGAAGACCCTCCAGGCAGTTACATCCCGAGCGCCAAGGTAAAGGCCGAGGTATGGCAATCCGCCATGACCGTGGCAGTGGCAGATGGCATCGCGGTCGATTCTCCCTTTCCAGAGAACGATATACCCCCATTTGCCATTGACCTTCCCGGTGACTGGCCACAGGGACTGGTGCGCAGCGTGTTCTCGAGTGTATCGACCTCCACGCCGGGCGGGCACCTGGCTATCGATAAACAGAGAGCCGTCAACTTCGCGGGTGTCAACCTGCTCCAGGCAAAGTCAGAGGGTAGAGCAATCGATGCCATCCGCTTCCTCCAAGTCTGGCGTGATGCCATGCCCGAGGCGTGGAGAGACGGTTGTGAGTTCGCCGTCCTACAAGGCTACTACACCCTGACAGACCATGCCAAATCCATCAAATACGTCGACACGACCGCCGCAGCAACCGCTGCACTCGAAGCCACAGCAAAGGAAGCAAAGTCTCTCGGCGCCAAAAGAAAATGGCACGAAAAATTTCGCGCTTCTTCCAAAAAGACGGCCTGAATATGTCTATAATCTCAAATAATGACCACACCCCATCAAATTATGATACCTTATAACACCTGTCCTCACATTACCCTCTCGCTCAGTCTCCTCCCTCCTCCTCCTCCTCCTCCTCCACCTCATTGGCCCTATAAGTGGTAGTAGGTCACGTTTGTCATTCAATCCGAATCGTCAAAACCGCACCCTCTCTCTCTACCTTCCCTTCAAAAACCTCATATTGTCATCAGTGAGGTACTCATCAGTGAGGTACCCTACCTACCTACCGACCTGTTCCTACATATGTGTATGTGTACCTACCTACCTGACCTACCTGATCTATTGTATGTACATATGTACATAAGGTATGTACCTTGGGTAAAGTAGACATCATTTGTAAGATGCCTAGATACATGTAGGTGGTGTTTTTTGATTTTATTTTCTTTGTGTGCTGATCGTACCTCCTAGTAAGCCTAGGAGGTTGGTCAGTATCTACATACATAGGAGGTACCTCCTCCTCGGGGAGGCGAGATCATCATAACATCCCGTCCTCTGTCATCATCATCATCATCAATGGCAAATGTAGGGACCTTCTAGGTAAGGTACATGTACGCTCAAAAAAAGAAATCAAAAGCGAGTCATTATACAAGTCCCTGCATGATTGATCTTCAGGGAAAAAAGGAACAAAAGAACAAAAAGAAAACAACTTCGTATTTTAATTGGCCATGAACATAATCATATTCATGACTCTGGTATTTACACGACTGACAGGGTATCTCAAATATCGCTCTGGTCTGGACCTTCCTTCTGAGCGCGACGAGGGCGATGCCGTAATGAGCAGCCAGCCAATGCCATGCGTGCGTCATACGTCTTTTCCTCTTCCTCCTTATCGTCCTCCATGAAATCCACAGGCGCAACATGGCACCTCCTGTGACCAAGTGGCCGAAGATCTTTCCCCTGGCCCCCACACCCTCTATGTGCCGCTCTGTTCCCCCAGAACGAACGTCACCTACGTCGCTCAGTCCATCCTCCTCCGTCTTTACCATTAAAGAAAGCAAGAACAAATGCGGGATTCGCAGACTTGGGATTCGCGTAGCCCGGTGGGTATGAAGCGACAAATACAAACGATTGCATGTTTCGCAATTGTTGGAAGATGGTGGAGAAGAATTGTAGAACCGTCGCACAAGAAGTGACATCCAATTGAACGCCTCGCTATGCCGTAAAGTCGTAGCCATAAAAGTCTGGAAGATAAAGAAAGGCTGCGCATCACCCTCGTTCAGTTGCAGGGAACATGTCCGGTCCTGAGCCCTCTGTAGAGTCCCCTTCGATGGTCTTCTTCCAGTGCGCCGGTAGGCACACACACACGAGGGGAAACGCCTTGACCTCGCCGTCCTCGGAAGCCTCTTGATCTCTGCTGTTCGGTGCAGTGCTCAGCCCACTATCTCGCTGCACCTTATCGTCGTCTCGCCAGTCTTCGGCGCGCTGTCTCACGCGTACGCCTGTGGCCCAGCCATCATCCCAGATTCCAAGAACTTTGATCATGTCTCCGCGCTCAAGCTGGAACTCGTCGCCCGCTCGAGGTTCGTAGGCCCATAATGTGGATACCAAATCTCCCGAAAGGATCTCGTCTTGAGAGTAGTAGTCTTTGAAGAAGTTGAGCTGCTCACTTTGATTGTTAGACTCGGGAGAGGTGAAGTCGCCTGAGCTTGGAGACGTGTCCTGAGCAGCAGCGCCAATAACGCCAAGTTGAGATCCGCTGGAGAGAGAGCCACTACGCTTCGGAGGCGGCGCAAGCCTGGATTCTGGCATGTGCTCGTGATCAGACATGTCCTTCGAGTATCGTCCCACCGCATCATAGGAGCTCTTGGAATGGCTTGCGTTTTCCAGGGCTGACATGCGCGCGACACGTGCTCCTGGTACGACAGCCAAACCAGCACGTTCTTGGTAGTCCCGTGCGCCGTCATTGTAGCCCATCTCTTTATGCTGTCTGGCAGGCGCTGGCTGATTGAAGACACTGGAGACTGGACTAGAGTCTCTGCGCCTCTTCAACAGTAAACAACCACCAACAATCAGGCCCAGGAGTAGAAGCGCGCCCAGGACGCTACCAATGACAATCCCAGCGATTTGACCACCACTGAGTCCACGGCTGTTGCCTCCATTGCCTGTCTGCGCCGCTCCCGTCGCAGCACTCGAGATGCTAGTGGCCGATTGAGAAACGGTGATTGGAGCCAGGGACGAGGACGCTATCACGGGAAGCTGGACTCCATTGCACCGGGTGTTCGTGTCTGAGAAGACACAGCACGAGTCCGTCGCATTGGGCGAACTTGCTGCGCAGTAGGAGCACAGACCGGCGATGTTCTGGGTGAAGCCACAGTTATCGGGTTGGTTCGCGACTCCTTCAATGCATGACCCCGTTATGGAATTAGCAGGCAGGGCGCAGTTCGTGAAGTCGGCACGGACTTGTGTCAAGGCGTTATTGCCTGCATTGCCGCAGATATTGCTGGCAGCAATCTGCTGCTCGCTCTGAGCATATTCGGCACACGAGTCTGCACAGAGGGGTCGTGTCGCGGTTCCTGAAAGAGAGCATGGCTCAATGGAGTTCTGCACAATGGCATTGCAAAGGACGCTCGTGGTGTATCGCGCATAGAAGTCGGTAGTATTATCCCGCTGGACGTTGTCGCAGCCTATCAGTGTGGCGTATCTGATCCATGTTAGTGCATTGGCGGGGAGAGTGAGCAAGACGCGACATACCGTAGTTGCGTGAAGTCGCCTGCAATATATGCGGCGAGGCCATCGTCGAACGAGGTTGTGTCTGAGACATTGGACAGGAACGGGAAGAGGCCGGCCACGTCGCCGCTGGTCGAGATTGACGCGGCGCTGAAGGCTGGACAGGCCGTTGAGTCGGCCAGCGATATGCATCGCGTTTGCGCCATGGTTGTGTGGATGCTAGCAGTGAGCAATACGCATAACGCAGCAGCAGGAGAGATGCGGATTAATTGTCGAGTCCTCTGGACGGAGTGGCGATGATGAGATGTGCGGATAGGTGGTGCCCGGTCTGGATCTGCATTGTGCTTGTGTTGATGCTCGTTTCTTGACTCGCTCGACGGCTTCGTGGCCCGCAGGACGCGATCGTCGTTGTTGATGCCACGACCACCACCGCTGGCGCTCCGGCTCATGGTCCGAGTGTGTTCCTTGGCTCCCCCGTTCCCAAGTTCCAGCCCAATGGGTGCGGACGGTATGGTATATGCGGTATATGGGTGTATGGTCGGCGCAGGCGTTGTCAGATGGGCGTTGACAAAGGTTTCTGACTTTCTGTCCTGCCGGCAGTCTGCCAGTGCTGTCGTAGTTCTACCGGGACACGCTCCTCACCGCCGTAGATGTGGTTCGACCGTTCGACACGTCTAGCGGCACAGGAAGGTTATCAGCTGCATTGGATGCCGTGGATGGGATGGGTGGTGTGGCCTCAATGGCTTCTGCCTCGTGGGCGTCCGAAGGGCGGGCTCCAGGAACGAGCGACTGGGGTGAGTGCCTGTCCCAACAACGACTCCTCTCGCTGTCGCCCGGAAGGTGAGGTCGAGAGGTCAAGGTGGCTCCGTGTTTGCAAAGTCGGATGGACACACTCATCACAGTAGCAGAAACGGCCAACAGAAGCTTGGGTGCATCTCATTTGCAGTGCATCCCGGTCTTGCTGCCGCTCATTCGTCCGGATGTTGCTGCTTGCATACCGAGATGAGGCCGATCGACAGCTAGCTGTAGTGCACCAGTGCGCACCTTTGTGCATTGAGATGAAACACCTGCTGTGACCGATGCTCCGACTTCACGTTCACGACATTATATGGATGATTCCACCAGACAGACACAGACGAGCTGTTGTGTCCTCTTTCTCTCCATCTTTGGCATCCCATAGCGCGCCGAGGGGTTGAAGGGAACGTCCTGCACTCCCACGAGCTTGTGCCCGCAAGACATCCCGGACAAACGCTCGATCCGCGCTGATGCCGCTGGCATCAGTCTCCGTCTCAGTACCCGATGAGGCCATTGTGTACCCTATGCCAACGGGTGAAGTCCACGAGTTTGCTCATCAAGCAAGGGAGCTCGCTCGATGGCGCGGGGCAATAGCAATGTACCTATGTCTGGTGTATTGAGCCGGCAAGCAAGGAGTGCACACCGCTCTGCCTCGTGGCATATTGAGTTCACTTTTCAACAACCACATCCATGTCTTCATGACAACCAGAGAGAGAGGAAGAGGCGATGCAACGTGAAAGAAACACCTCGTTTGCATGATCTCGACAAGCATTACACTGTTCGCGGCCAAGCAGTCAAACCACCCTCGAGCCAGCCGTTCGCGTCTTCGCCATCTCCGGCCAAGCAAGCTCTCAATTTCACATCCCGTGTCAGGCAGTCATGTTGGCTTTCAACTTTGGCTCCTCGCGTGGCGAGCTCGGCTTTGGCAGCTGGATAAAATCGCACGTTGAAACCATCTCTGGCTCCAACCTCCTGATCGGCAACAGGCGAGCAACCTTAATGACTACAACCCGTCGCAGACCGTGTGAGTCCTCGGTCCCATTGCTTTCTGAGGCACCGAAGTCGTATAACTACTACCGTATGTATAGGGTCACAAGATAAGTGAATCTCATGTTAGCGCGATGCTTGCCGCCGGGATCTACATATCGCGCCTGCGCGCTACTCAATGTCAGATGTCTCTAACTTCTTCAAGCTTGCACCACTCACGAGCGAACATCGAGTTCGCGTGGGTACCACCGTTGTAATCCGAGTGGCTGGAACGTACATGTAGCTGCGGCACTCGGTACATCTTATTGGTGGTAAGCGGAGTGCCGGTATAGGTGAGGTATAGACTTCACAGTACACGTAGTCGTCCAGGATGTGGAACGCAGTCTCTTGCTACATTTGCCCAAGAAGGATTTACAGGCTCTATCCGAGTGCACGACCCAAAGAGACATCAGAGTAAAGCAGACAGCTGCGGAAGGGAAGAGGATGCGCTGGTCGCTCTGCAGGCTGCTTGGTGGTCAAGGCTGCATACAGTATTGCGTCTATCGCAGAATCGGGCAGTGAAGAGTTCATGCTTCTTTGCTTCATTGAGCCGTGATGGGAATGTCCGTCCTCTGAAGCGACTCCTACATGTACATTGCGAGATGGTCAAGCACGAACATTGGACATAGTCTGACCACTCGTCCGTCTTGTTGTTCCACTTTGTTCGATATCTCGGGCAGCTAGAAATGTCCAGCGCTGGTCTGAAGGTCGCTTCCGCTTTGGGCAGAAACACCTCACTACCTGACCCTGACAATGTAGTACATGTATGGTGTACCTGGTGTGCTGGCATGTTGCGTGGACGATATACCTGTACCTAGCTGCTTGCGCGACTTCTATGGCGCGACTCCAATGTGCATGATCCTCGCTCGTGCAAGTGCCGTACCTGGAGTATGGTATCCGGTAGAATGTCGGAGTTACAACAGCGACCACACCCCTGCTTCTTGGCAGGAACGAACGTCTCTGACTTCACACCTTCCCTCACGCGACACTCCAACAAGTCGTTAAGGTACGTCTACAGGAATACATCATCGCGAAGCCTCGGATAGGGCATGATGGCGTGAAAGAGAGCATAAACTTTCGCTTTCTCCCGACAGCCAGGAGATGCTTGAGCATGTGCGCATGCGCGCCACCAGATGCCGCGAGCGAGAATTCAAGCGGACATTCCTAACGGGCTGATGAAATTCTTGCGGAGAAGCAGACGAAGACCAGCGACACGGAATAAGACGAGACGCTTCTGGGCTTGATCCACCCATATCAGTACTCGGTCTCCTCTGCCGAAATGTTATTTGGCCAAGCCATCGCGGCATCTGCCCAACTTGTGCGCCTTCCACACTGTCCGAGAACACGAGCATAGTATCTTCGCACACCCGAGTAGCAGTCGCAGAGGCGGAATAATCTGCTGCAGCCCTTAATTGTGCCAGCATACCCAGAACAATGGCTCGCACTCGGAAGTGCGAAGACGTTGATCTCGGCATTCGGAAACTATCGTCAATCATGTACCCTTTGCATCGAACTACTTGAATTTATGGTCTCTTGAGACAGCTCTTCGATTCGACGCAGCTCCTCGGCTTCATCAGTAGCTTGACTGGGGTCATGGATCTGCAGACAACTGATTCTCGAGACGAAGGACGTCTACGGCGAGCGTCGGCTGCGAGGCTCAAGCGCGATGCATGAGATAGGTGGTATGCGACTATCTGGATCATTCCGCCGGTCATCAACGAGGCGATTGGTTGTTCGCGGTGGTGCTTTCGCCGCCTATCGTTTTCTGCCCGCTTGAGTTATCCGCGGCGTATACTAACTAGTCCACACCGCTGTCGATGTCGTTAGGCATCGATGTCCGTGGCTGCGCGCCCATGTTGACGCTTTGTATGCCATACTCTGAGGTGGAAGAATTTGAGGCCAACTTCCACCAGGAAGCTTTGAAAGGGCTGGTGACATTTCGGGGTAGATGCAGCCGATATGAGCCTGAGCTTTAGCTTCCCCTCATATTCACGGAGACAAAGCTCAAACAACACAGCTTCGCTTCTTCGGCTTTGCCATCTGTGGGCCTTTTTCTTGCGGCATATCGCACATGTGTAGGGACTATGTGCTCACAACAAATATCCATTTGTTGCTCTGCCGAAAACTCGAATCGCAAAGATTGCCGCAATCGGACTAGAACCTGTTGACGCATGGACTTCTCCATTCGGCATGTTCGAATCGACGTACGATCGGAGGCTCGATAGCCACAACGAAGACCACGAATTCATATTGGACGCGGCGTGGACCGTTTGCGGCTTGCATCCACTGAACGTGTACGAAAGTCCGTGGGGCTCTGGATCTGCAATGTGTACCCCGTAGCAATATCTAGAGCTCGCTTGCAGCATGACAGCTCTACCAGTATCTTCGTACGAACATGCTTGCCGAGTCCTCTGGTGCCCGAGAGCCATGAGGCAACCAAGTGCATACGAATGGCACTCGCTTCAAGAGCACTTCGTAACCGCCGTGAAGCTGGTCGTCCCTCACTCGGGCTGGCACAAGTTCTACCCACGCAGCCGGAAAAGCGTGGATGCTTCTACCTCCTACGAAGCTGGCACTTTCCACCTCACCTGGTCCTCTCCTCCTCGGTAACGTGGCGAACAACATATCAAAACGGCACTGAGATGCATGAAGTACCAAGGCAGAGGCGGATGACGCAAGGAGATGCTAAATTCGGCACTTTGCACTGAGCTGAGTGCTGGTCTACCGTCTATTGACCTATGTCTCAATGTACACACACACACCTATGTACCTCGAGAACTGTGACCCGGATCATGAAGTGTTTTGGACTCGTGCAGTGGCAGATACTCGCTGAGTTGTCTGATCGCGGAAAGTCACGGAACACATCCCAGGCAACCAGGATGATGTCGGAGCTCGTAACCTCCAGTGCCAAGACTCACAAAGCGACAGCTGTGATACTCTACACCTCAGGTCGTAAGACAATTGGTGACTTGGGGCAGAGTATACCATCATCGAAGAATTCTCAATTGACGGAACGTCCGCACAACTATGCATCCGCAAGTCCCGAGGCTGAATAGTCCCGCAATTTGGGATGCATCCTAGAGGGTGGCATGAAACCGGGTAATGTCAGGAGCGTGTTCAGGTTGACTGACTGTACATGGACACATTCGCCACTCAATATCGTCCAAGTATCGAAAAGGAGCGCAAAATAACTTACTGGGATACATAGACATGGAAAGACGGATGCAAACGCTGCGCAGAGAAGCTGTAAGGTAGGCTTCGTTTGGCTGTGCTATGCGCTGAAGCCGAAGCCCGAAGCCCTAAGCCAAGTCTCGAGACGACTGGTGCAGGCCAGTTTTGGCGTGACCAAGTAGCAGTGCATGTGAGTGAACGGGGAGCTTGGTCAATGCGGCTTTCCAACCTTGCGAAAAATGCTGGCCGATCTGCAATTGGGTGTCGCACGGCGGTCGCGCCAAGCATACTGATGATACTGTACAGCCTCACAGCTCAAGCCACTTCCAATCGCTTGACTCTTGAGCTGAAGCTTCCCTGTTGTTGCCACGATTGCGACTCGTATGTGCAATTATGCTTGTAAGTTGTCACGCGACTTCCAAGTCCCAGGTTTGCTTGTCCTTGCTCGACGCACACCGTGACCGTGCTTCGGGGGGTACCCCGAATGCTTGGCAACGCTACCTCCTAGGAGGTACTGGTGGCACATGCAGGGCAGGGCAAGGCAAGCGCCTCAGCCCGCTGGCCGTCACCCACGTAGCCAGAGCCACGTCCCGTCACTTGGAAATACAGACAACTTCTCTGAACTGCGCTGCGGAAATCTGGCGTTGAGCATGCAACAGAAATCTCGCCATGAACTCATGTACCTTACCCCCAGCGAAACGCCTACGAAACCTATCCCAGGAAGTGGACATTATCATCTGCCTAGCGTTCGCAATTTAGGTACTTACATTATGCTATGACGGACAGGGAAATCTGAGATCTTGCCGTGTTCCGGATGAGATGCACTCAACACTGATCGAGCAATATCTTCTGTGTCAGGGAGTTGTGGTACCCTGGACTACGAAGAGGCCACATATCACGCAGAATTGTGCCGACTTCTCCACCCTAACACGACCTCCTCGTCGCTGATGTTATATAAACATAGCAGGAAAGATTTTGCCATTTGCGTCGACTATCGCTCAAGTCCGGAGTATGCAGAGCAACGGTGGTGCCGGTAAGTGATGGGCATTGCAGATGCTTAGTGTTATGATAGGTCCACCACTGTCCGGATCGAGGAGTTTTCCTTACCTCCTAAGCCCTACCAGGACTAGGTGGCACAACCATGCTCCCTCTCTGGAGTCTCTGCTACCTCAAACATGACTTCTGCTAAGTTCAGCTGCTTCCCAGTCTTTGACGCCACCGATGTTACCATGTGGCAGTGCGTCATTACATACCTGTCAGGTATCTTAGAGGTGAGTTCCTGGCAGGGATCTCGCCCTTCTCCGCGCCAATGAGCTTCTCCAATTCATGTCGATATACTGCTCCCTTAACCACAAATAGGCTTCAACCACGATTGACCTAGCTTGACGTCTCGCCTGCACTCTAGCACCTGTACGTCGTTGCATAGGTCTGGACGCTATCTCTTGGTGTTCTCGTATATCGAGGGTTCAGGAAGCAATCGGCAATTGTGAAAGTCGTTCACGCCGCTGTCAAGTCGAATCGAAGTGAACTAGACCAGGCCGCAATTGCAGTACGCTGATAATGACTTCCATGAAACACGACTCCTTCTCGTGGTCAGACGCATGGCCATGTCCAAAGAACCATGACTGGTTCTCTTTATAAGAAGGACCCATTAATGATCCGGCTCTCGATTCCAGTCACATCCCGCATCGACCACATTCCAACGCATCCCAAACATTTGCTGCGGCTTCATCGGGGTACTTGTGACGCTCCATCTCCACCGGATTCATCGTCCTTCCTCGAAATATATCATTCAGAATATCGGATATAGGAACGATCTCAAGCATTGTACGGCACATACAGCCCTTATATACTGGCCACGAAGCGCGGAATCTCCACGCTCGACACTGCAAACCGATCGTTGATCACGGGTTCGAACTCAGGCAATCACCATGGCCATCTCAACTTTGTACAATTCCATCATCGTCACAGCCCCCTATGTCTTGTCTCTCATCGCTTTCACATTAATCCTTCAATACATCTATCAATGCTGGAAAGCATACCGGTCTCCTCTATCTCAATTGCCTGGCCCTTGGTACGCGCCCTTTACGGGCGTGCATCTGACGCTGGGCTTTGCCCGCGGCACAGTATGGAGAATGGTCGAGGCGGGCCACGTCAAGTATGGACCATTCATGCGCCTTGGGCCGCGACAAGTCTGGATCTCGGACAAAGTGGCATTGAAGCAGATCATACAGCAGATTGATCTCCCAAAGGTCATGATGTATGCGGAGATCAGCCGTGAGAAGGAGAGTGCGGGGCTCTTTGGTGAAGTGTTAGTATCCACATATTAATGGTGGTGCATGGCGAAGCTGACGCACATTACAGCCGGCCTCTGGTTCACAAGCGTCTGCGGACGACCATGACACCTGCATTCACTGTCACTTACCTTGACAAGCTGGACACGTTGTTCCAGAAGCCTGTGCGAGACATGATGAATGCCTACCATGATCGTCTTGGCTCCAACTATGGTAGCGAGGGAGTGAAGGTCAACCTCATGGATGATCTGCACCGTATCGCTTTGGAGATGTAAGTTCCTTTGCCTATGCACATCCTGTTGACTTTGGTGGACTGATGGAGTCTCACAGCATGGGCGAGTGTGCCTTTGGTCGAGGTTTCGGGTCCGTTGCTCCAGACACAGTTCCAGAACCAGGCTTCAGCTTGAAGGCATGGCAGGAGATACCGCGTGCTGCGTTCAGCGGCTGCCAGAGGAGATATGCTCTCGTCTACTTCAAGCGCGCTCTTCGACGTTTCGGCATCCACCTCAAGTTCGATTGGCCAGCAGAAATGGTGACCGCAATCGAAAGCGTTGTCAATCGTCGACGAGAAAAGTCCGACAATGAGCGACAGGATCTGCTGCAACACCTGATCACAAAAGGTGTACGACCCGACAACGGCAACAAGATGAACTCTCGCGATATTCTGGACAACCTTTCCGAGCTGCTTCTCGCCGGAGCGGAGACTACTTCCGCGACAATGTGCTATCTCTTCCTTGAGCTAGCCCGTAACCCCGAAGTTCGCAAAAAGCTCATGGACACCCTTCCTCTTCTCAGTGTCAGCGACCCACTCCTCGATGGTGTCAACATCCGCAAAGACCCTCGATACCAATATCTCGAGGCCTGCATCAAGGAGAACCTCCGCATGCACCCCATCGCGTCCGAGCTGGGCCGTCGCACCCTCAAGGATCCCGTCACACTCAACGGCGTAGTTATTCCCCCTTACACCGTCGTCTCAGCATCCTACCGCGCCATCCACCTCAACGAAGAATACTGGCCTCAAGCTGACCGCTTCTGGCCCGAAAGATTCTTGCCCGCCGATCACCCATTGAAAGATCATGCTCCAGATGCTGACCTCTCTGCCTATTTCCCCTTCTCCGGTGGCGCGCATTCTTGTATCGGCATGAACTTTGCTTGGCACGAAATGCGTGTTGTCATCGCGAACTATATGGCACGATTCGATGTGGTGGAGGTGCCGAACCAGAAGTTGGATATTCGGCAGTTTATTACGATGCAGTTTCATGATGGCAACTGGAATGCGGTGTTGTATCCTCGCGCATCTTCGGAGGTGTGAGGGGATGGATGTTGGTATGATGTTACGAATGGGTAGATGATGATGATGATGCGTTTATGGAGTACGGCGTGATTTTTGGTCATTTATAAAAGTGAAATTTCTTGAATTTATCAATCTGTCTGGACCTGGAAGTTCATCTGATCATCTGTCATTTCGTCTGCTCTGGTGCTATGCTACCAAGGTATTGTTATACCACGGTCTGACCATATGTAGTATAGAGCTTGCTCTGGCACCTCGCTTCTAACGTTGTACCATACCTCCGTAGTCCCAGCGCCCTTTGTTAGGAAGCTTTTTTGACTTTGAAATTTCAAGTTCTCGTCCAAGTACCAGATAGGGACTGCATTATAGTTGGATATCAATCTTCTTCGAGAATTCGAGCTGTAACGAAAAAAAAAAAAATGTACATCCGTCTACTTTCCAATACCTGTATTCGAAGCGTCGTCGACGATGCCACTACACTACACTAAGCTACCGTCTCTTCCGACGCGCTCTCAACCTGCAACTTCTCCGCATCACCAAGCCTACCATCGCCCAATTTACGACGATCGACAACCAACACGAGCAAAGCCACAACAACACTTCCACAACTCAACGCCAAAGCAATTCCAAAAGCAATTTTCAACCCAGACATATACGCTCGAACCACTTCCCCAATCTGCTCCGCCTCCAATTCCGCTCGAAAATTCCCCGGTCCAGCCTCCAGAACCGCAGCAGAAGATACTTGTGGTGCAAACTCCGGCAGAACGGCCAGAAGACGATTCGACACAGCAGATTGAGCAACCGCCAAAACGACCGCTCCGCCTAACAATTGAATCCACAAAGCCCACGTATTCGCGCGAGTGAGATCTGATGCAGCAACGACATTTTGGCAGACGATGATGCTCAATTGAATACTCAACCCGAGACCGATGCCGACGAAAATTTGATATTTGATAGTTTGCAGCGTGCTACTTTGCGGGCCCAAGGTGAAAATTAAACTGCTTCCGACGGTGCTGAAGATGGCGCTAATGAGCATAATGAGTTGGTAATCTTGCGTGTTGGAGAGAATGAGGCCGGAGAGGATCGCGACGGGGGCAGAAGTTCCCACGAGAGCGAGAATTCGAAGGCCGGATTGCGCGGCGTTGACTCCTTGTATGATTTGGAAGAAGAGGGGGAGGTAGTAGAGCATGAGATAGTAGGTTCCGGAGACGGTGATGTTGAATAGGAGTTGTAATGCGATGGTTTTGTTCTGGCGGATCAAACGACTACTGAGGCCGGCGAGCTCGCCGAGAAAGATTTCGACGCTGATGAGAAGGCTGAGTGCGAGGCCTGCGCTGAGAAGACATCCGATGACAGGGCCGGATTTCCAGGACTTGGTTATGCCGGCCCATTGGAGTGCTAGGACCAGGCAAGCTCCGAATGCGATGGTCAGGAGCATACCTGCGAAATCCAGTTGGAGTAATTTGCCCCTGAAGCTCGAGGGGGCGGGTCTGGCATGAGCAGGAGTTTCGAAAAAGAAAAAAATTAACACGAGAGAAATTCCACCGATAGGAAGACCCACTGGTGGTGGTGGTGAAAAAAGAAAGCTTCACGTTAGCCAAAGTGAAGACAAACTTCCAACAACAACACTGGTATCATAAAACCAAAAGGAGCAAGAAAAAAGAAAAAAGAAAAATCCTACTCACCATAAAAGCCCGCCCTCCAAGATACCTTCGTCGCCAAAACTCCACCAGCCAAAGGCCCCACAACAGCAGCAACAACAAACCACAAACTCACCACCCCCAACCTCACCGGCCTCTTCTCCACCGGCGCCGTACACGCCACAATCAAAAAAGTCCCCGCCGCAACCCCCGCCCCGCCGAACCCTCCCACAACCCTCCCCAAAATAAACACTTCACTTGTCGGCGCAACGGCACAAATTCCCGCGCCAGTGGAAAAGATAATGCCAGAGATGAGAAATGTGGATTTGAGAGGCCAGCAGGAATAGGCTTTGCCCCAGAAGGCTTGTGTGGTGGCCATGCCGAGCATGTAGGAGGTTGTGTACCAGGTTGTGTGGGAGAGGTGGTGGAAGGTGTCGAGGATGGAGGGGATGGTGGTCGAGAGGAGGGTGGAGTCGAGGGAGACGAGGAATATGCTGAGGGAGGTGGCGAGGAGGGTTAGATTTTGGCGGAGACCGGTTGGGTAGGTTGGTGGTGGTGGTGGTGGTGGTGGTGGTGTTGGGGTGGTGGGGACATGGTGGTCGTTGTTGTTGTTGTTGTTGTTGTTTTTGTTATCGTTTGGTTCTTCTGAATCGACAAGGGGATTTTGGTTTGGCATTTCGTTGTTGTTTTTGTCGTTAGACGATTCCCAGGGGAAGGGAAAAGAAGAGACTCGATGGAGTGATATGGCAGAGAGGTAATGCGGGAGCTGTAATTGCTTTCGATATCGCCAATATAATAGTTCCAACACAAAAAAAAAAAAAAAAAATCGAATCAATCCTCAAAAGGTAAAAACCCAGAAAGAAGATAAAAAAAACTACAATGGCAGAATTCACTTCCCATCTTTTGTTTTTCCCCCTTTTTTTCTTCCTACTACCTTACCTTACCTTACCTAGGACTTACAGTAAGTGCTTCCAAGCCTCCAACTAACTACATACACAAGCATTAGGTAGGTACCACATCAGCAACCTCCCCCCCCTCCAACCCTTCCATCTTGTGTGTACTGTATCATGTCACATCACATCACAACGGACATATCCGAATCAACCCCTCCCCTCCCTCCCTCTCATGTCCAGCTCTCTTCGCTTTCGTTCGGCATCTCCGTCCCATAAGTCCCGTTACATGTAGTCAGGGTTACGACGACGACGACTTAAGGTACATCCTCCCATGCAAAAAGCTGTATGTTGTGTTATCTGTCCCTTTTTCATGCTTTTGGAGAAAAAAGAAAGAAAGAAGAAGCGAAGCCAAGTCTGTATCCTATCCTCCCCCTGTCCTATTCTGTCCTCCCCTGTTCTGTCTTGTCTTGGCTACTGCTACCTTACTGCATAGCCTATTTTCCCTCTCTCTTTCTCTGTCTCTCTCGTATACCGGTCTGAAAGGAGAGAGAGATATATATACATACCTGATATGGCAAAATATAACAAGGATCCTACTATAATACCCCTCTTTACGTTACCGAATAGGCCCTAAGTCTACTACTAGTAGTAGTACATAGTCTGACTTACTACACGCTATAGTTTCAAAACGCTCCCTAAAAAACATCCTCCTAGTTGAGAAAAAAAAAAGAATCTCACCTTGTACCTATCCTACCTACCCTTACCTTAAGTCTGTAGAATATAGCCGAGTCAGGAAAATGTAGATACCTTTCTTTTGGCAAGGAACAATACACCCTTCTCCATTGAGCAAATAAAAAAAATACCCTTTTCCATTGAGCAGATAAAAAAACAGGAAGGACCCTTGCTTGTCCTTGAATATTCTCCTCCCTTGAATATCGACTGCACTCCACTCCACGTGGCGAATCCGTGTGGTGTGGCGGCGACTCCGATGTGGCTGTGGCGCAGTGATACGGATGGTGACCCTGACCTTGCATAACGCATACATATGTACATGTGCAAACAGCTGACGTGCATATACTAGGAGGTACCTGGGTAAGGTAAGGTAAGATAAAGTCCCTGGTACCTACCTCATGTACCTGTAACAAGGAGGCTGGCTTGCCTCTTGAGCTGGTGCCAAGTGGAACATCGTGTATCGGACATGTCCGTCTGTGCGTGCGTGAGTGCTCAGGCAACTGGCTGCTGTGATATACTAGGTATCTATACTCATCACGAAACTGGCACTACTAGTTTGCATGAATAGATGAATGATGCAATTGGAAATTCTTCGGAAAAGGCCGACCTTCCCTCGTCGTAGAATGCGATTTGTGGCGAAGAAAAATGGCCCAGAAGATATATTTCGTATTTGATGGGTAGGGGTCAGAGCACTTCCTTGTTCATCATGCACGTCTTTATCTTGTAGAGAGGGTCTGCTGAGAGGTAGGTATTTTATATAATAAGGCAAGTCTCCCTCGACAAGGTTCTGGGTACTTAAAGAAAGAGGGTCATTCGAGAGACAGAGTAAGAGACAAAGAAGGGAGAAAGAAGAAAGAAGAAAGAAGAAAGAGAAAGAGAAAGAGAAAGAAAGACTCACAATCATGGACGCTTCACTCCGATCATTCCTGAGCTTCGTCAAGACCGCGTCTCCCTTCTACGCAGAGCTGTATAAAGAGGTCAACATTTCAGACAGCAGCACAACATTGCAGTCGTTGCCCGTCGTACCTCACGCAGCATACTGGGCTGCGAACACGACCCGGGGGAATCTGGTGCGAACGGCGCCCGTGACCGATGGGGTCGTGTTCAAGACGGGCGGAACCACGAGCAAGCCAAAAGCGACGGCGTATTCTCAATCGGAGCTATTGAGGACATCAACACAACTGGGAGCTGGTCTCGTTGCGGCGGGGCTCAGGCCGGGCGATCGTGTGGCCAACTTGTTCTATGCTGGCGAGCTATGGGGCTCTTTTTGTAAGTGCGCAAGCTTCTTTTGAGAGACGGCAATCGACTCACCAATCCGTTCACAGTGCTGCATGTGCTGAGTATCCTCTCGACATCGGTACCAGCCGTGCATCTCCCCATCAGTGGACCAGCCCCACCAGAGTCATATGCAGATTTGCTCGAGGAATTCGACGTGACGGCAACGCTGTCTACAGTCACGAGTCTGGTCAATCTCGCCAACTACATGCTGCCACAGAAAAGGACACTCCCGTTGGTTCATGCCGTCATGTTCGCAGGAGAAGCGCTATACCCAGACCAGCGCGTGCTTCTACAGCAGCTATTCCCCAATGCGACGTTTCGGAGCTGCATCCTGGGCTCTATGGATGCTGGTGAGAAATTCCTACTGCTCCGCTCTGGTCTGAATGACATGCTAACCAAGTACAGGCGTCTTTGCAGAGTCCGCAGGCCAGGAAGACGCTCGTGTCCATCGAGTGTTGCAGTCTTCCGTGGAGTTAGAACTGCTTGTCTCTACCGATGAGCCCCACGGTGAGGTGATCCGAGAGAACGGGGTGGCGGGAGACATTGTCGTCACCAGTCTGATTCGCAGCTTGACGCCTGTGGTGCGCTATCCTACTGGGGATCGTGCCGAGTGGGTGGACTACCAAGCGGGCATTTTCCGATTGCTTGGCCGTTCAGGAACCAGCATCCGACTGGGGCCGGTGTCGTTGGACATGCAGGATGTTAGGAGAATCTCGGTCGAAGCAGTGTCTCCCGTAGCAGTTCTGGGCGTTCAGGCGGTGCTGACCCGAGAGGCGGGAAAGGATTGTCTGCAAGTGTCTATCGCTGCCAACCGCGAAGAATGCACAGAAAGACTGAACTTGACTGATGAAGGTGCACGCGACCAGCTCTGTCGACGAGTGCTCGAGCGTTTATGGGAAGAGCGGCCGATGCTGCCACAACACATCGCCATGGGCTTGATCGGGAGCGTACGAGTCCGACTAGTCAAGTTTGAAGAACTCGAGGTGAATGTACGCAGTGGCAAGTTGATGGGAGTAGTGGATTTGCGATGAAAGGAGAGCAGGGACAAGGTGAGGTGAGGTGAGGTGTTTGGGGTGGAGTCGGGGAGAAGAGACGGCAGGCGTCATGTGATGAGATCCATTCTTGATTACCTAAGATAGTTTGATATCAATCCATGGTTCTTGGCATGATCGGCACGGCAAGGCACGGCACGAAACGAAGTCTCGGTCCAGGCCGACTTCGCACCTTCCTCTCTGATCGAAGCTCGTCGTTCCTTCCCAATTACACTTCTCGTCGTTTGCCGCACCTTCTGTTATCGCAGACCCATAAGGCATAGCACCTTAGTCATCATTGATCGTCATTTGCCTGCAGAAGGGCACTATCATGCTGGACTTCTAGTGGTGGTGGTGGGGGGGAGGGGGGAGAAGCCATCCTCGGTGCTATTTCACCTCCACCACGTCGGCCGATTGCCAGAGACGGACACAAGCCAGATCAATTTCACGATTGACGTTGCCTCGAGCGCCATCGTTCGTGATACTAAGGGGTACTTTAGTACCTTATACTCCTAGCACATGACGTGCCATTCGTTTGGGAGGTGGAGATGAGCAGGTCCCCCTCCCTCCTCGTGCGGCAGGATGCACAATCATAGGTATCATCAATGCAGGTACATGCAGCCCACATGCGCTTTATCGTGACAGAAAGTCGGCGCTCGAGCTCGCGTACTAGTCCGAGAGGGAAGGTCGCTGCGAAGCACGCACGATATGCCCATACTACCGTAGGCTGAGTGTTCATCCAGTGCGAGCTTGTTATGCACCCACTACCTGACTGACCGTGTGCCCTCGACTGTATTCCACTCCCGCCATCAGCGTGAGCTGACCTTCAGTCTCTTGTAAATCTCCTTGTTCGATCACTCCTTCTCCTCCTCGTCGGTCCCAAGCCCGAGCACGCACGCAGAAATGGTCCATCCCTGTACTGCCATCACGGCGGCAGCCATCTTCTTCTCCCATGTCGTTTTCGGCCACATGCAGCACCGTCTGCATGTGCAAATCTCTGTAGCAGATGGTCTTCTAAATAGCAGCACGAATGGTCGAGTCGTGCTGTTGCTCGCCCCCGCCGGAACCGATCCTCTCGAAGATACGGATGTCACATCGTCACCAAACTTCTTCTTCGGCAGAAATGTCTACCACTTCGGCGCTGGCGACCAGCTCTCACTGTCGGGCGGGAGCGGAAAGCATACGAGCTCCGGAGTCTTTGGCTGGCCCAATGTCAGCATGGATGAAGTGCCGGCGGGTGACTACACTGTGCAGGCCTTTCTGAACCCATACGAAGCCGTGACCCGCAGCGATGGATCGGTGGTCAGCCTCCCATTTCCTTGCGGCGACGGAGCCCCGATGCTTGCTGGCTTTGGCAGTCTGACGACGCCGGCCACCAATGTCACCGTTTCGGGCAGCCCACAGACCATCGGTTTGAACTTCACTGCAGTGGTCCCCGTCGACCCGTTCCGGGGAACCGAGATTGGTGGCTGCTCGCAAGGCAACTACGCCGACACGGAAACTTTGAAACACGTCAAAATTCGAAGTTCGGTGCTCAGCGAGTTCTGGAATCGAGATATGTATGTTCAGGTTCTTCTTCGTACCTCCCCTGTCTGTGCTAACCTTCCCCGCCTCCTTTCTGCAGCTATGTCGGCGCCAATGTCAGGCTGCCACATGGCTACAACGCCACCGACACTGCTACCCGCTATCCCGTCATCTACTCACAAGACCACTGGGCCGGCGGAGACTCGGCGTTCGCATACTACCAAGGCGGAAGCTGGATGCAAGCCTGGGACAGCGGTATCATCCCAGGGGCAAATGGCACTGCCGATCGCGAGACGCCCAAATTGATCCTCGTCACCTTCCGCCACGAGGCGCCCTACTACGACGACTCTTACGCTGTCAACACCGCCAATCTGGGCCCGTATGGAGATGCGATCAATGATGAATTGATTCCTCATCTGGACAGCCTCTTCAACACCATTGCAGAACCATATGCACGAATCCAAGAAGGAGGCTCTACGGGCGGCTGGTCGTCGGCCGCTAGTCTCATCTTTCGTCCCGTGAGTCGCAACACGCCCAGATCAGTCGTCTCGATGCCCGCGCAATGCTGCTTGAAGGGAGAACTATGCTAATTCGAATGGTGGTACAGGACCTGTTCGGTGCATGCTTCTCCTCCTATCCCGATTCCCTGGACTTTCACCGGCACCAAGACATACCCCTATATGATGCCAAGAATGCATACACTCGACCCAACGGAAGCAGCATCTACTCCATCCGCGAAGTCATCAATGGCACTTTGACCGACGTCACGACAGTCGCGCAGGAAAACCACTGGGAACTCACATTTGGCACCTCTTCCCGCTCCTCCGCACAATGGGATGTCTGGAACGCCGTCTTTGGCGCCCAGGGCTTGAACGGCTACCCTCTCGAGCCATGGGACAAAGTGACGGGAGAAATCTACCCCGAAGCAGTCGAATACTGGAAATCAATGGACCTCTCCCACCACATCACCTCCCACTGGAACGCCACCTCCAAAAACCTCGGCCAAGTCCTGCGCAATCGCATCTTCATCTACGTCGGCAGCTGGGACAACTACTTTCTCAACGAAGGCGTCCAAGAATTCTCCAACCGCGTCAACGCCCAAGCCGGCGCAAATGACCCCCACTGGGCCAACATCACCATCCTCCCCCACCAAACCCACGGAGGCCTGTACCAACGCCGAGAACTCTGGCCCTACCTCGAATTTCTCCTGGAATTCATTTCCGACCACGCACCTGACGGCCCCACCCCTCTATCCTCCGCACTCACCCCTTCCACCGCACGAGGAAACCAATGGAAGGAAGTCCTCGCGCACGGAGGCCGTGAAGCTGCACTCGCGAGACAGGCGGACCCGGAAGTGGAAGTGAAGCGGCGTGGGCAAGGGAGGTCGGTGGTGGAGGCGAAGAGTGTAGGACGGTGGGATCCGGGGATGAAATTGATGGCAGAGTGGATCGTGGATGGGGAGGTGTATGGAAAGGAGTTTAATGTTACACAGGGAGAATTAGTCACTTTGGACTCGTCGAAATTGGAAAACAACAAGATGTGTCAAGTGCAGCTGAAAGTTGTAGGACGGAAACGGGGCTATGTTGAGGAGACGAGGATGAGTAATCTCCTTGAAGTTTGAGATGGCTTTTTGATATCGACAGATTTGTAGTACTGGACTAGATGGACTACCTAGATAGAGTCAGGTACATTAGCCACTAGGATTCTCAGTGCAAAACGTAGGTATGTATATATATATTTATTCATTGCGAAGAGCAAGACAAAGGCCACCCGCACTGAGCAATGCATGGATGGGCATCGTGGTTACTCTGCATCAAAGTCGCTCCATGGCAATCGCTATCTGACTATTCGCTGTTGGATCATCCTCTCCCATGTTCCTCCCCTCTCCACCCCCCCTAGGCATGCGCTGATCGACATGACGCCGTTCAAAAGAGAGATTACAACGCAGTGAAGAAGATGAAAAAGAAGAAGAAAAGAAGAATAAAAAAATTCACCCTCACGACGTCGTCATACTCCGCAACTTCTGTTGCTCTTCGGGCGTGAGCGCATTAAAGACATTGCCAAACTCGGGATTTTGTCCTTGTTGGCGAAAGAAGTTCAGCAAGAATGATTGCGTCTCATCATCCTGCCCACGCGTGGCCGATGCATGGTCCTCGGCGCCATATGCCATCAATTGCGATTTGCTCATGCCGGCCCCAAGGTCCAAGAATTCGTTGGGGTCGTCCTCCCAGTCCCCGTTGTCATCGTCGTCATCATCGTCATTGAGCTCCGCAGCTGCCGCAGCATCGAGATTGCGAGCGGATCCTCCTGATGCCGATAGAAGCTCTTCCACCAGGACTTTGACAATCTTGAGCTGCGCGGGAATTATCGTGTATTGATCAGGTTGTTGTCGTGCGCGAGACCGAGTCATAATGCGGTCGGACTTGGGCACGATCAGGTCGCCTTTAACTTGTATTTGGGAGAGGCGGGGGTCGTTGAGTTCGTAAAGCTTGGACAGCGCGATGATGCTAGAGAAAAAAAGTCAGCAATCTATCATGTGATTGTTCCGGAGCGGTTCCCCGCTCACTTTTGTCGAATATCCTCATAGCCCGCAAAGTTGATGGAGTTCTCCAGCCACTTCGTGATGACCACCTGTAAGCCATTTTGGTCACCGATGCGAACATCGGCGAGGAAACCAACGACCTCCTGCGCAGATATCAGCGACAGTCGAGCAAAGACCAGAATCAGACTCTGAATGAAATGTGCCTGTGTGGCAGTTCCCAGTCGGACTGCCACCGCTTGCAGCAGCTGCATGAGATATGGGCCCAGCTTCTCCGATCCCGCCTTCTCCACCACTTCTGCCGCAAGGCCACCAACTTCTGCGGCACCATTATCGTCGACGGCGGGGTTCAACAACCGATCGATGATGATGAGAACGACTTCCAAGCCACCCTTGCCATCCTGGCTTTGGTAATTGAAGACCTGGTCGGGATCGTGTCGCAACATGTGCCTTACGGCCGCCGTCGCAGACTTGAGGAGCTCATCGTCTTGTGATCCGAGGAGCAAGCGATTCAGACGCGGCATCACGGTATTCGCAAACCCTTGAGGAAGAGGCCTGGAACCGTTGTCTGCTATCACAGAGAGGAGATCTGCGGCTAGATTGGCTAGTGCATTCTCTTCGGTCAGGCTGGCAACATCAAACGCGCCCATCAGCGAGGGCAGGACTTTCTGCGCAAGCTGCGCATATGCCTCTGGTCCTGCACGAGCCACTGTCTCTGCAATCTCCTCGAATATCTCAGTGACCAATAGCGCAATCTGGAAGTTTGCAGCTCCTCTGCTAGCAACAGTGAACAACAGATCAATGCCACCACCGCTCAGGCAGGTGCGAGTGTCGAGCATGATGGCATCGCGTAATGTCTCGATGATCGTGATAAGAAGATCGTCACTGTCGTCCAGGTCGCTGAGATCTTGCGTGTTGAGGAAATTGGACAGCGCTGCCACAATTTCAGACTGTCTCTGCAGCGTGATTGAAGAAGGTAGTGCCGCTAGGTAGTATTGCAAGGCACGAATACACGAGACCTTGACAATCTCAGATTCGTCGCTGGCTATCGCCTGCAAGGATGCCTCCATGAACGAGGCTGCCACAGATTGCAAGGCATCTCCCGATGTCCTGGTCAGACTGCCCGCGACAAGATAACCTCTCGCGCGCAAGAAGACCTGCTCTTCCTGCATGGCATGCTTGATGAAATCAACATAGCCTCGAGCAGAGTCATGGCCGATTTGTTTCTCCACGTCCTGAAAGTCGCCGAGAAGCTGATTGAGCAGGTACAGAGCAGCTTCCTTTGCTTTCCAGCCTGCATTCTCAGAGTACAGCGTGCGTGTGTATGTCAGGAGGCTCTCCACGGTTACTGTATTGAGCCACTCGCCAAGCTTGATTACCAGGTCACCACATGCCGAACGTGGAGTGTAATTGGCAGTGACATTAACTTCTTCTGACAGGAACACATTGACATCGATATTCCACAGAGCTTCTTCCTCCGTCGTGATCTGACCATACGCAACAGCAATCTTCAGCACATCGACGATCCAGGTCGCACCGCCAGGCTGCAGCTGCTGTTCGAGTTCCTTTCGCACGGGTGGTGCTCGAAGACAGGCTTGCATAAAATCGAGTTCTTCTAGCACCAGGAAATCGAGAGTGTACGGCAGCCCGTCGGCATCTTCCAGTCGTCCCTGCCGATCGTCCTCAATGTACATCTGGTAGTACTGGCTCTGCAGATTGGACAGCTCCTGCCAAGTGGCAGAGAAGAGTGCGGGGCTGTGCGGCGAGAGCATCTGGGGAAAGAGCGTCCGGAGTCGCATCAAGCTCTTGACAATCTGCAGCTTGAGTGCGACGTGGCCACGGTAGTGCTCGGCAACTTCGCCCTTTTCTTGATCGCGCTGAGGGGAGGGTGGCAGAGGTGACTTGATCATTTCCACAAAGAACGGGAGCCAGCCCGCGAGATTCTCTTCGGCAAATGCCTTGACGGCCGCCTTGTGGTCTTCCATGACCATCTCGAGAATGTTGAAGGTCGACCGGAACACAGACACTGCGATCGCTCGGAGCGTCGCTTTGCGGTTCTCATTCACAGCCACATCGTAGACCACTTTGACCAGAGCATGACCAATGTTGAAAAACTGCTCTTCGTTGAAGCAGTCGTCCACGAGCTCATTTAGAACCTTGAGAGCGCCGTGAAGTTGACTATCGGCTCCGCTCGAGACCACGTTCATAACATGTTGCAGCAAGTCTGGCCAGTCGTCTGGGAAATCCGCCGTCGCAATTTTACTGACAACTAGACTGGCTGCGCTCTTGATCTTTCGCTCGTCGCGAGTGCTAGTGGCCAATGCAAGAAGCTGCGTCCGGACTTGAGACTTCCTGGCCTCGTCCACGTACAACGGACCGACATACTCATCGAACTGCGTCGACCAGCAGGCGAGGACAAAGTTCTTGAGCACCAGGAGGGCGGATTGCCGCACGCCCTCGGGCACATTATCATGGGCGCCAATGGAGAGCAGCAGGAGGGGAAAGTCTGCATTGGCGTATTGCTCCTTCAGTCGATACTCGGCATTCTTTCGTGGTTCTTCCTGGCTAGATTGGGTCTCGGCAAGCAGACGCACCAGCTGCTCCTCCATGGCGTGTGGCTTCGCTGCTACCTCCTAGTGCCGGTAATTTGGGTGTAACATGCAAATCGTGAAATGTGGTGTGGTGGCCAGCCGAAGATGAATGACTTTGGATTGGCGCTACGGTAGGAGGAGGAGGTACAGTGCCCGGTGTTGGAAGTTGATCTGCGGTCAGGAGCGGGATCAGAACCAAATTCGTCGGGTCGTGGTTGCTGCTCGCTCGTCTCGTCTCGTGCACGCAGAAAGAGGAAAGACGTGGAGTTTAGTGGAGGTTCGTGCCTTCCACGTGTTTGATTTTCCTTGGCAAAGAATTGCTGGGAAACCGGCACGTCGCGTGGGACTCCAACTTACGTCATCGGTCGCGTCTTCCCGTCAACTGGAACCTGAACACCTCACTCACTGCACTCTTCGATATTCCTTCCAGCTGCCCCCCTTCCCCTTCCAACCTGCATCGACACGACTTCCATGCACATCCAGCTGCATTGCCTCCTCACATACATGCACACGCGATATGCGCGTATGACAATGACCAAGTAGTCAGACATGTCATCAGGGACGGCGACCTTCATCACCTTCGTGACCGCCTTCACCGACTTTCTCACCGTCGCCATCCATACCATCCTCTACGAACGTGGCATCTACCCCCGCGCCTCCTTCACCTCCGCCAGGAAGTATAACTTTGCCGTGCGGCAGAGTCGCCATCCCAAGCTCTGCGAGTGGATCAACGATGCCGTCGACGCTGTCGAGGTCGAACTGCTCAAGGGGACCGCTGAGCGCGTGGCGGTGGTCCTGTACAGCAAGCAGAACAAGCCGTTGGAAAGAGTCGTCTTTGACGTCTCGCACTTTCCTGTCGTGCCCGCGAGCGAGCACAACACCCCTCTGGAGGCCATAGAAGGACCAGAAACGCCGGTGCTTCCCATGGTCGATCTGGAAGAACAACTGCGAGCAACCATGAGCCGTTTGTCGACTTGTGGAGTCGACATGAAACAGCTCCCAGCAGAATGTACCTTCACTGTGGCAGTGGAGCTGAAGCCTGAAGGCCAAGCGCCTCTGGAACATCCTCAGCTATGGATCCCCACCGAAAGAACGGCAACTGCGGATGGCACATCAGCAAACCTCGACAAACATACAAGACCTGTGCGAGCTGTGAGAGCTGGCAGCATGATGTTCGAGACCTGGATCGAGGAACTGGAAGACAAGACCGCAGCATATACAAGTCAGAGCACGGTTGACTGAGTAGAACCCTTGGCCATCTATTCGCTATCGATCTGACCGGGCTTGGCGACTCTTTCGCTCACGCTCTACTGCCATTACTATGAATCGTGATACCTGTTCCATCGCAGGGACTCCATTTGGTTTCCTGCCGCCCGCGACCCTCACAACCACGCTCAATATCTCAGGCGAGATGTCAAGTCAGATGCACAGCATGGGGACCAACACTCTCACAGCTTTCCGCCCGGAGTGAGTGCTGAAACTAATGTCAAACTAACCGAAACATACAGTAGCTCCTTACAGATGGCTCTCTGTTCCAACTTCTGAAGCGTTGGCCATTGCTCAATTCGGCGCTGGTACCCAGTGCCCACGTCAGCCTCGAACTTTCTGCACTGGTATTAAAATTGTAAATTTATGGTGTGCAAGGTTGCACCTCCCTCAGTCTGGACTCATCCCAAGTACAGCAACACCATCCCCTGCTCTGACATCGTCGTAGCCATAAAATGCCATCGAGTATCGACAGCTCGGCATTAGCGGTTGGCATACTGTGCTGTCTGTACAATGCAATTGTATACAATTCTACCCTTGCAGATCCGGTCTTTAGGCATCATCCGGAAATCATATCTCCACTCTTTGTCCCAGTCCTTAGGCACAGCTTGGCGCTCAGAGACGTGGAGGGCGTGGCTGAGGGACGGCCAACACCTGTTTGCAATATATGATAGAGATGACACGAAGAATGAGCCTACTTGATTCGTTGGGTCTCTCTCCTTGTCTGCTCCCGTTACCGCCAGCCGAAGAGACACTTCCCAGTTGCCACAACTACTGTACGGGGCGACATGGATCATGGATACCCCTAGGCATTCAGCCTGGTCCAGGAACACCATGATAGAGTGGCGTCTCCCGTCGTGAAGATGAGCTTGTATATGTAGGGATCCTGGGAATCTGTTTGCACACGAGTCTGCTCCTCCACATCTTTCTCTTGTCACGATGTTGGTCGCATCTCTTTTGGCAGTGATAGCGTTCGGCTACACCAACGCCAAAGTCATCACTCGGCAGCAGGAACCCTTCGAGGCATGCGTTGTTAATGCTGTTGACGGCAAAACCGAGCAGTATGCTCTGCCTAGCGGTGTCAACTATACGACGTCTTTGAACGTTTACAATTTGGATCACATCTACATCCCATCAGCTGTGGCATACCCAACCAGTGCAGAACAAGTCGCCGCACTCGTGAAGTGTGCATGCTCAGCAGGTGTCGCTGTGCAGGCACTGTCGGGCGGACATAGCTTTCTAGTGAGATTTCCTTCGCCTTCGTACATACAGAGAGCTGTGCTAAGACGAGCAGAACTTTGGCCTTGGAGGACAAAATGGCTCGCTGTCCATTCGCCTCGGTTTCATCAATGACATATTCTACGACGTTTCGGCAGAGACGATGAGCTTCGGCACCGGTAATCTTCTCTCGACCCTCACCAAAGAGCTCGAGGCAAACGAGCGGACCGCGGCATACAGTAGCATTGGTTCGATAGGGACAGGTGGCCATTTCGCTATCGGAGGTCTGGGACCTCTGTCGCGCCTCCACGGCTTAGCAGCTGATCAGATTGTGGAAGCGGAAGTTGTGCTTGCTGACGGGTCCATTGTCACGGCATCGGAGAGCGTGAACGAGGATATCTTCTTCGCCATTCGTGGTGCCGCCTGGTCTTTCGGTATCGTCACATCAATCACGATCAGAACGCAACCGATTGTGCCATCCATTCCGTATTCCTACGTCGTTCCTGGCAACTCTTCAACACTTGCTGCAGTCTTGTCGGCATGGCAATCTCTGGTCACGCAGAAGCAGCTCCCACGGGAATTCAGTTCCACTGCCTACATCTATGAGGGCTTTGCTGTTCTCATTGGAACCTACTTTGGATCCCAGGTGGACTTCTCCAAGGTCGGTTTGGATAGCATCACTGCCCACGCCATTCCAACACGCACGGTTCTCGACGTTCTGGACCAGGCGAACATCACCGCCTCCGTCGCCCTACTCACAACCTTGGAATCTACTGGCTTGCTCCCAGCCGTCACAAGTCTTCCGGCCGCAGACATCCTCGGCATCTTTGCCGCCCTTCAGCAGATCTTTCCAGTGATTCAATCTGGTGACATGGCCGCTATCACCCAGGCTGTGCAAGCCGCCAATAACACATTTCTCAGCGCAGCCCTGTCGTTTGTCCAGCCACCAGTACTGCAAGCGTTATTCGGCAACCTAACGTACTCGGGCATTCTTCCCATTATCAGCAATACAACCACTCTCGCCACCATCGGACCTCTGTTGCGCAATTTAAACTATACCTCCATCATCCAACTCGTCGATCAGATTGACCAAGCCGGATTTCTAACTGCCCTTTCCGCTCAGGGAGCCAAACCTTCCAGCATCTTTTCCACCCTCTTCACCTCTCACACCCCCGCTCACTTTTACGCCAAAAGCTTGAAATTCACACAAGACACTCTCCCATCCCCTCCCGTCCTGACAGAAATCGTCGACTACGCTCTCGGCAACGCCACCGATCCGGGTACTCCCCTCTGGTTCATCCTCTTCGATCTCGCCGGCGGCAAAATCAACGATGTGCCTTCCAATGCAACATCCTATTTCCATCGTGACGCTTTACTCTGGTTACAGAGTTATACTGTCAACCTCGTTGGCGACGGCGGCGTTTCTGCTCGTCAAAAGGGTTTTTTGAATGGTTTGAATAAGAAGATTCGGGAGTTGGTTCCCGGAGTGGATGATGCTGCGTATCCGGGTTATGTGGATGATGGGCTGGAGGATTTTGCGACGAGTTATTGGGGTGGGAATGTCGAGAGGTTGAGAGGGATTAAGGCGAGATATGATTTTGAAAATGTTTTTCGGAATGGGCAGAGTATTCGGGTTTGAGTGGTTGAGGCTTTGGACTGTCTCCCGGTTGTTGTAGGACCGTCAGTTGGTGCCAAAATAGCGGTGCGTTTTGTGGGGGGTAATGGCTAATAGATCATAGATGGATAAAATCACTGATACTAATAACCAGACCTGACCGATTCAGAAACAATTCTTTTCAACAAAAAAGAACAGGGGGCTAAATCTTCTTCTTCTTCTTCTCCCTCAAAGAGGAAGAATAATAGTAAATACCTAAAAAAAAGGAATGTTACAAATCCTCCTCCCCCTTCTTTCCCCCTGATACAATCAGTATATACTACCTAGGTCCTACACTAATACGCCCCCTCCCGCTTCACCCACCCCGGCTGTGGACTTTGCCCCACCGCTCCAAATCCACTTTGCACCGGATGTCCATCGACCAATTCAAACCCTTCCAGCTTCGCCCCTTCGGCCTCCAATGCCCACAGACTCAGCGCCACATAATTTTCTCCCTGATAATTGAAAATCCCCTCGGGGACAGGAAACACATCTTGCGGACCGATATTGTGAATATATTTTCCGAATTGGTAGCCATTGACAAACAATTGGGCGCGATACGCCGTTGCAAGGGTAGTAGAAGTATCCGTAGTGGTGTTTGCGAAGGAAAATGAAAGAGGAATGTCATATCCGACAGGTAAATCGAGATTGAACGTTGTGGCGTAAAAAGCTACACCGGGTGCAGAAAGTCCTTCGGAAGTGCTGGATTTCTCCCATGTGGAGATGGGGGTACCCGGGAGATGATAACCTTGTCGTTCGGCGAAGAGACCTCCTTCATTGAGGGGACCTCGGGCGCGGTCTTGGTAGTCTTCGCCGCCGAGATTGCCTGTGAGTTTCCAGGTGAGATCGGAGGGGTCGTGGCCGGGAAGGTCGTAGTCTAAAATTCCTCGCGGTTTCTTTTGGTTGACGGTGGGGGATTCTCCGGCGGAGCCGCTCTCGTCGAGGCCTTGGTTGTCGAGGAGGATGGTGAGGATGCATTTGGTGCCGGCGGGAGTGGGAGGGAGGGAGTAGGTGGCGTTGGTGTTTTTGTATAAATCTGCGCCGACGAAGGAGCCTACGAACATGTCGTTGAGCCAGACGCTGTGGCCGAATGCGGAGCCGCCCTGAGTGAAGAGGAAGATGGTGGACTCGTTGCCGTTGGCGGTGAAGTGGGCTCGGTAGAGTAGACTGCCGGTGTGAAATCCGTAGTCGCCGGCGTAGAGGGACGTAGGTGTCGTCAGATTTCTTGCGGTGTTGTTGCTGTACGTGAGGTCCGCGCTCGTCCACAGGCTGTCATCGTAATCCGCCTGAATTTCTGGCAACGAATCTATTACCTTCCATTCCAGTTCGGAGAGTTTGGGAATAGTGTACTCCGGCGCAGCGTACTCTGCCGTTGCAGTGATGATGCCAGATTTGGAGACAGTGAATGGAAGCTGCTTGCCATTAAAGGTCAGCTCCGTCATGGAATCTGGTGCGCCGCCAATCACTTCGATGGTCGTAGTTGCGTTGAGGTCGCCAATCAAGTGGAGTGCACTTTGCTCAATGGTATAGCTCCGGATGAGATAGCCAGCCTTGACGATGGGTGCGGAGATGGAAGGAGTGGCTGCTTTTTCCACGACCCAGTAGTCGTAAGCGCTGTTGCGGTCGACAATGTGAAGGCTGAGTCCGTCGCACAGGGACACGATCCTCTTCTCCGTGCTGGTGGCAAACTGCATGACGATCACTCCGTTGGTGTTGTCCATGTTGATATCCGAGCCTTCGACCACAGTTGCATCGCCGCACGACGTAAATGCAAGTTCGTTGATCTCATCGGGTCCTGTGTAGACAAGCAACACACGCTGGCTGCCATACTTCTTCCACGTGAAGATCTCGGCGGTGGAGTAGAGCAGATTGCTTCCGCCCACGTCGTAATCGGTGACATACACCTTCGAGTCGCGTCCGTGGAGCGACAGCTTTCCTCCCAGCTGTGGTATGGTAATGTTACCTTTGCTTGTTGGTAGTGTAATGCTATACTCGGTCGTGTCCAAAGAGTTGTATGCCGCATGCCGAACGACAAAGAACTTGGTGCTGTTGGTAAGGAGGGTCGTGGTAGCGATTGCGCTATTCCCAGTCAAAGAACCATTGGCATACGTGTTATCTTGCGCAAATGCTTCCAAGTAAGCTGGAGATGCCTGGAGGAAATGGGCCAGCAGTTTGGCTTGACTGTACTTTTCCCGCTCAACTGTGCGCTCTTCGGTGATGGCTGCACCATAATCATAGCTGGTATAGCCTCCGGGATGACCGAGGTTGCCCCAGTTGGTACCTCCGTAGATCATGTATATGTTGAAGATGGTCGCTCCAAAGCTGTACACATTCTTGTAAAACACCCTTTGGAATTCGGGTCCAAGCAGATCTGTGCACTTCCCAAAGCCCGGTCCGCCCCAAGGATCGAAGGAGCCTCCTTGGAACTCGACGACGGAGAATGGAGTGCTGATACTTTGATTGAGATGCACTTTGTGATAGTCGAGTGGGAGCTTATTGTCCGGCCAAGTGTATGGGTTTGCGCAGTCAAATCCTAATGGGTAGCCATCGTGGCCGTAGATGTCGATGGTCTAGGGAGCAGAAGATGTCAGCATATGCCTGAGCCATGTGAATGCATGTTGCCTCTTACCGCATTGTACAGTGCTGGCGGGCCGGGGGCGAAATAGCCGTACGCGTGGGCGTCGTTCGAGATCATCGGCACCACAATTCCGTTGTTACGATACTGATCCTCAACGTACTGCCTACAGAGAAGTGAGCTCAGCATAAGCCATTGCCCAGAGATATGCAGTACTTACCAGTACACAGAGTCAGGAAAATCTGGCGCATCTGGTGCTCCATGAGAGTACTCATTCTCAGGTTGCAATAGAATGACTGGACCGCCATTCGTGATTTGAGCCTTTGCGATGATCTTGGACATGCTTTGGACGTAGTTGTCAGTTGCCTCCAGATAACGCGGGTCTCTGGTCCTCAGCAAGCCGGGATTTCTCTGCAGCCAGCCGGGAAAGCCTCCACCCGAAACTTCAGCGTTGATGTATGGCCCAGGGCGAGCTAGCACGTATATGCCCGCTTTCTTCGCAGCATCAAAGAACGGCTCCAAGGCGAAGACGCCTTCTGCCGAGAAGTCACCCTGCTTTCCTTCCAACAATGCCCAGTCCCAGTACACGCTCACTCCATTGTAGCCCAGAGCTCTGATCTTCTGAAGTACATCTAGCCATAGACACGGGACGGGCAATCGAAAAGGATGGAATTCTCCACTGTAGAACAACACCCGCTCGCCATGGACGAACAGGGAGCGCTTGAGGGGATTGTCAGTCGTCGAGCTATCGTTCTATTGGAAAGGCACACAGCACAAAATCATCACATACCTCATCCCAGGTTACCACATCTTGCAACGGCGTATTCCTCTTGTCCGGCTTGATCATCAAATTGGGCTTGCCAGCGATGGTAAGTGCAGCAGCATGGAAGGCCAGGACAGCCAGCACGGCTGCTCGAAACACTTGTTTGTACCACATGGCGCGCTTACTGGGACGCTGAGAAGCGCCATCGTTGTAGTTGCGACCTACCTCATTATAACTGACGGGCATGTACCCCATCTCGCCCTCGCTGCGTGTCGTTCCGAAGACAATGGTCTCCGCTCACTTGTCTCACAGTGGATCCGTGGATCATGTTGGCCATGTGAGGGGAATATGGAGATGATCATCAGAGATGCTTGCTTGGCCGAAAGCTTCTTGTGGTGATGAGCCAACGGAAAAATACGAGCAACTTGCTTGCCATTGCTTTGCCCGTTGAAGCACCTGCATGCTTCCCCGGCTCCGCGCATCATGCAGGACAGGTACACGCCTTGGCAATGGAGGCTACCGGTATAGGAGTCTCATCAGGAGTATCTGGCTGCCAGATACTCCTGATGGAGATTGACTGTGTTCTTGAAGAGCATTCGCAGTAGTCTTCTTGAGACTCATGGGACTGATCCTGCCAGGATTCATGTATCGTTATAATGTCCATGGAATGAGACTCATCTCTCATTGGCGCAGACAGCCCTGCCTGCTCACTCATATGGAAGAGAGATTGCGTTTATTTACCGCCTTATGCAGCTACACTTCCAACACCTGCAATTCAAAAAATAGGTGTGATGGCGGGTATGCAGCGATTTACCCGGAAGAACGGAAGAATACTTGTAAAGAGTGAGGTGGATCGGGAAGTGGAGAGGAGAGAGCTGGCTACTACGGGTTCTGTTAAGACTACGTAACATACCTTACCGGAGGCCGCAGCGGGGGTGTTAGCGTATTTACATAGTAAGTCTAGAAATTAGTAGAACTACACGCGTAGTTCTAGGGCCTTTATAAACGTCGGGCCAATAAATTTTAAACGTCGGGCCTAAAGTTTGCCTTAGGCAGAAGATATCTTAAACTATTTCTCTTAGGTATTCTATCTCTAGATAGGTATTTTGCGTCTCGTTCCTCTTGTTCCTCTTGTTCCTCTTGTTGCTCTCGTTGCTCTCGTTACGTTACGTTACGTTACGTTGCTCTTATTACGTTATGTCTTGTCGGTTTCGTCGTATCTCGTCGGTCTTATTATATCTCGTCGGTCTCGTCGTATCTCGTCGGTCTCGTTATATCTCGTTAGTCTTATTATATCTTGTTAGTCTTATTATATCTCGTCGGGTCTCGTTAGTCTTATTGCGTCTTATCTTATCTTGTCTCGTTGCCCTTGTCTTGTCTTGTCTCGTTGCTCTTATCTCGTCTTGTCTTGTCTCGTTTCGTCTTGTCTTGTCTTGTCTTATTACCCTTATCTCGTCTTGTCTTGTTACTCTTATCGCTCTTATTGTATCTCGTTGCTCTCGTTACTCTCGTTGCTCTCGTTGCTCTTATTGCTCTTATTGCTCTTATTGCTCTTATTACTCTCGTCTTGTCTTATCGCTCTTGTCTTGTCTTGTTGCTCTCGTCTTGTCTTGTTGCTCTCGTCTTGTCTTATCTTGTCGCTCTCGTTATAAAAGTAGGTAACATACGAATATTCTGCCTTAGGTATATAGTAAGGCCTAAGGCAAACTTTAGGCCCGACGTTTAAAATTTATTAGCCCGACGTTTATAATAACCTATAGTTCTATAGATATATTACAAAATATACAAACATGTATAGTATTATATATATAGAAAATATGTCCTATAGGCCTGCCCGTTAGTAGTATAGAATGTATAGGAGGTACTAATCTCAACTTTCGCGCGCGTATAGCGCGCGTATGTCTATGTCTACCTCTATCTCTATCTCTATCTCTATCTCTATCTCTATCTCTATCTCTATCTCTATCTCTATCTCTATCTCTATCTCTATCTCTATCTCTATCTCTATCTCCTCGTCCTCGTCCTCGTCCTATCCTATTCTGTCCTATCCTGTCCTATCCTGTCCTATCCTATCCTATCCTCGTCCTCGTCCTCGTCCTTGTCCTTCTCTTCTCTTCTCTTTAGTTCTTCTCTTCTCTTTGATTCTTCTCTTCTTGTCCTTCTCTTCTGAATTTTAGGCAAGGTAGCCTATAGAGACAGGCAGGTAGGTAGGTAGGTAGGCAGGTAGGCAGGTTTGCCTATAGCCGGCTTTTTTTAAGATAGTAATGAATTCGGCTTAGCGGCTCTATAGCAAGGAACGCGCTAATTAGAGCGTACGCTTTCGAGCTAGTTTGATTAACCTATATACCTCCTTATACGAATTGGTTAGTACTCTACTCCCCCCTATACCTAACCTACGCTACGCTTCGGAAGGTTTAGAGGTCGTTCCGTACCAATTATCTATATATAGCTACTATGTTAGTAATGCCGTAGTGTCGACGTAGTATATAGTTCTACCTGTAATTCGTAATAGTACATGTTCTAAGAAGTCCTATATTAATATAGTAAGAGTTTTTAACGTAGTACTAGTATGCTACGGGTTTTCTAATATAGTGTTTATATGCTTTAAAAGTTTTGATACGCGAACTCTAATCTAATATACTAGGTAAAATATACTATATAACTACCTTAGGTATAGGTATATAAGAGGTATACTAACCTCGCTTGATCTTTACCTTAGGGTCTATTATAGGCAATACAGACGATAAAAGGTACTAGGTACAATACGACAGTTCTATTCTAGACTAATCCTATAGTACCTAGTATACAACGATAGTATACGCGTCTACTACCTGCCCGCCTAATATAGGGTATCTAACTCTCTTGTCTATATTATGCCTTATAGGTACCTGCGATACTTAGTATCTCCTACTAAGTCGTAGAAGAGGCGAACGAGTTGCCGATAGTAGTAATATTGCTATTACCC